TTGAGGATATATCCCCAAGGATCCATGTTTGCCAATAGTATATACTTAGGCCTGACCGTAGTCCCTATATTATTGGTACTTGGGGGCCCAAAGCATGTACCAGTTGGGTAGATGGATCCTTTGGGTATTAACTCCACTGAATAGCGATACATACAGGAAACAAGCAGACAGAAACCATTAACCCGGTCCAGCTATCCTCCAAACGCTCAAACACCCAAAGCGGTAGAGAACCTCAAGTTGCCGCAACACCTTCTAAACCCCTTGAAAGGAAACCTTGCAAAAGGCTTTGATAATCAGAATGCCCTCGCCCAAAAGCCCGATTCCAAATATAAGCCACTAGAGCCGAAACCCCAACTACTCATACTACAGGGGCCTTAATAATTGGACTAGGGTTTTGGGGCCCATTACTTTGATTTGATTATATTATAATAAGGAACCTCCGAAAATAGTTCTTTGATTATAAAAAGGAAACCCCAAAATAGTATTGGCAATTATTCAGGTACCTGTATTAGAACCCTTGTAGGCCCTTCTCGAACCCCTGTCAAACCTTCATCGGAGCCCCGGAAGGAAGCACTAACCTGGAGACTCCGAAATCCCGCAATTAAGGAATATACCTTCGCCATATTAAGATTCTACTGTACTTAGAAATATTCATAATGAAAGCATTTTGGAAGATCTGGGAATTTGCATATTTGTGAAAGTATATTCCTTAACTAAATGCTTTTGGAAGATCTGGGAATTTGCTAGATGATGTCCATGCCTCGGCTTCTTTGGCAGGGCGATCGGAGGCTGCACCCTCCAAAGAGAGGGGAAGAGACCTGGGAAGGTCAGGCGTGAGGGTTGCATTGAAGAGCGTCGGTTCAGGGTTTAGGGTTTAGGGCTTTAGGGTTTAGGGCTTTAGGGGCTTACTGGACTTTGAAGTAACCAGGGAAAAGAAAGTATAGACATCTACTTCATAATGGTTCCTTTAAGGAACAGGTACCGAAAAAAAGCATTCAAGGGCTTTACAGTAGAAGCCCAAAACTTGGAAACCCAATAGCCTCAGCAGGATTTGGCCTTAATCCGGTTTCCAACTTTGTGGGGCTTACCGTGCGGCTTTAGAGGTTTGGGCTTAAGGTTTAGAGTTTGGAGGTTAGAGTCTAGAGTTGTGGGTTAGCGTCGCTCCTTCTTTGCAAGGCTTTTCACAACGATGTTCTTTGAACAGTCAGGTTTTTCAGGCTCCAAGTACCCCCTACAGCCTAAACCCTTAATATTAAACCTGAGCCGAGACCCTGCATCCAGCTCCAAAACGCCGAGGATCGTAAGGACTATGAGGGGCCCAGCGCCAACTAAACCCTGATCCCCCAAGACCCCGAATGCAGAGGATATCCTTTTGCAGTGCTTACATAAGTATATTATAATAGCGCACCCCCGACACCCGGTTCCAGTTATTATGGCGCTGTATACGGTCGATGATATAAATCCTGCATTACCCATAATAAGGAATAGACCAAAAATCCCATAGTTTAGGGTCCTTAAGGTAATGCAGGGTTTATATCATCAGCTGTATGAAGCCCTAAACACGCACCAATAAGGCCCAGCGGTGTTCTGGGCCCACCACATGGATCTAGGTCCAGGCCCTGCTGCGGCCATCTCACTCGTGCCTTTGGCCACCTCGGCGCCAAAGTGGGAGTGGTTAATAGGTTTAGGGTTTAGGGATGCTTAGGGTTTAAGGTTTAGGATTTATCCCTAGGCATCTAAGGACTCATACATTAAAGCTTTTCGGCCTAAAGACCATACTATGTAGGCTTTTGGGCGATTTTGATGCCCAGGGTATGAGGGTTTAGGGTTTTAGGGATCGAGTTGCGGCTTCAGGATCAGGGTCTAGGTAGGGTTTATAGGACTCATAGGACTTCGGCTTCTAGAATTCCCTCCTTGAAAGGGTTCTCTACGATGGTTGCACTACAAGTACGGCTTCTATACCGCAAGACTTTAGGTCCTTGAGGTCTTATGGATGAGGCACTCCTAAGTTAGGGCTTAAGTTTATGCTGAGATGTGCGGTTCGGGTTCAGGATCGTGATTGGGTCATTAGTTCTGTCATCCGGTTTGTACGAATTCACAAGCTCTTGGGTATGTACATCGTAAACTTGAAAATCCCTCGTAAGCTCCTACCCGTGGCGAGGATGCTGCAGGTTGAAACACAATCAGAAAAGTATTTGTGTCTTTTGACTTGGTGGAATCAGAGTTCGAGCATTTTCTAAACCCTAAACCCCTAAACCCTAAATCCTACACAGCCTCGCTTCAAGCCTGAAGACCCCCAAAGTCCGACCCTAAGGCCCCAAAAGATGGGCACCGAGGCGCCCCCTTTCGGGCCGTTTTGGGTAGTACCCTAGCAAACCCTCAAGCCCCTAAACCCGAAGCTCCTGAATCTGAAGCCTTATAGCTATGTAGCCTTACTTGGGAGTTTCCGAAAGTTAGGGGTACTTTATTCGGGGGTCCTTATAGTAAGGATCCTGCTATCTAGGGTACTATATGAGGACCCCCCTATTTTCGGAAACTCCCACATGCAGAAGCCTCAACCCTAAAATCATTCTCGTGAACCCAAGCCCTACATCCTGAATCCGGCCGCATCGCCTTGAGCCTCGACCCGTACCCTAACCCTAAACCCCTAAACCCTAAACCACAAACCCTAAACCTTAAGCCCTAAAGCCCAAGCCCTAAACCCTAAGCCGAGCGTCAATTCGTCATCAGTGGTAGCTTGGCTCTCGGCAGCCATTGGCCAAGGAGGCTTAGACGCAAACACCGAAAAGCCCGGGTTGAGGTCAAGAGTTTCGGCCTGAACCAAGAACCCTGAGCAGCAGGGATCCGCGTTGAGTGCAGGGGCTGGTAGGGTCTAGGCTATGTTCACAGGGATAGGTGCTAGAGTTTGGGGTGCAGGGTTTAGGGGCTAGGCGGCCACCCCAATGCTGGAGATGTATTGTCTATGGCAGTTCCTCAAACCGAGTTCTCTTCTTTGCTAAACCGCCTGAATGGCACTTAAAGCTGAGGGCTAGCTAACTTGGTTCGCCTAATCGGTCATTGTTCTCTGAAATGCAGTCTGAATATCTGTCTTGGTGCCTGCACGATCAATGGCCGTCCCTAGCCGAACTCAGCAGTACTTGTGTAAGGGTTTGTGGCCAATGTCGTGGCAAATGCTGCTCCGCAACACTCATTGCATTCTGTGGTCTTGAGGCAAACAGGGATCGAGAGCATGGTCTCACTGCTTGCTTGAAAGAAAGCTGTTCGAGGCATGTGCATGCAACAGAAGCAGAGCCGCCTTGATGCAACAGACATAGCACAAACCGACCGTGCAAGTTCCTGTGAAGCTACCCTAAACCCCAAACCCCAAACCTTAAACCCTAAACCTTAAACCGAAACCCCACACCTTAAACCCAAATTAAACCTGAAACCCTAAACCTACAAACCTGAAACCCTCAACCCTTCTTAAACCGCAGACTCTTGCGTTGCCTTCCTTTTCCAATCGCCGTGGCTCGAGGGGCTCCCGGGTCTGAGGGGCTCCGTGGTCCCAGACTGCCGTGTTTCTTGCGGCCCTAAGGGCCCTTTAAAGGAGCCCATAGATCCCTTAAGGGATCCCTTAAGGGCCCTTAAGGGGCCCTTTGAAGGGCCTCGCTGCTTCGGGGCGGGTCGAAGAGCAGGAACTTCGGGAGCGCATAGGAAGACTCCGATTCTCGTTCGGCTTTCTTCTCGTGTCGCCTCGGTTAGCTGAGTTTCGTGGCCCAAAAACACGCGAACAGAATTAGAGTAGGATTCCCTTTAATGGGGTTCCTTAAAGGGATCTATAGTGGGGTTCCTTGTAATATAGGGGCCTTAATAAGTAAAAGAAAAGAGTAGGGTCTTGGGGCCCATTATACTATAATTACAAAAAAGCACCACCCCAAAAAAGCAAACAAAAAACAACATAGTATTGGTAAATACTAAGGGGCCCCCTCATGTTAGCCCTTTAGTTCCGGTAGGATCACAGTGCATAAACCTAATAAGCGGCTTGAGGCTACCTTTAGAAGTTGTAGGGTTACATAAACCCAAAGAGGACAACAGTTACCTGAAACTGTAGGGTTACAGAAACCCAAAACCCCAAGGGCCCAAGTACCCAGTAGTCATATACTCTCCAAAACACCTAACTTACATAACTACAATCCTAAAACCGAGTACCTAATTATTGGGTCCTTTGGACCCTTAAGGGAAAAGGAACAGGAAAAAGTTACCTACCCGGCTACTAAGAAGCTGAGATCGACTCCACAGCTCTGCAGTGCTGTTGGCCGTCACCGGGCCTGTTGGGAAAAGGAGACGTGGTGGTTGCCAGGCGGAGAAACTTAATACAGGGGCCTTAATAGTTAGAAGAGGGTTTGGGGGTGTAGTATACTATAATGATAATAGGGAACACCCGCCATAAGCAATCATTTAGGCGCCTATATTACATAGGCAAATATTTAGGCCCCTTTGTTTTTTACTACAAATGCTTCCTATACTACTGCAAATGCTTAGGAGCTTGGAATGTACTAAAGACTAAGGCCCTCGGAACATGATGGGAGACCAAAGGAACCGAGGGACCAGGAGAGGGTTTCGGCATATGGGAGTTTCCGAAAATTAGGGATACCTTATTTTGGAGTCCTTATAATAAGGATCTTACTATTTAGCGCGCTCCATTAGCGTCCCCTATTGTCGGAAACTCCCATACAGCATAAGTGTAACCTATGTTGGGACTATCCGAAGCCTTGAACCCTGAAACCAAATAAGCTTTCCTGAAATCCCGAAACCCCCAAACAGCGAACCCCTAACCCTAAAACACAATAAACCCGAACACCCCTGAGCCCTGAAACCCGAAACCCTAAAACCATTAATCATGCTGAACCCTGAAACACTAAAGCCCCAAACCCCAAAACACTCAAACCCCCAAGGCCTACTAGAGCCCTGGAACTCCAAAAGCCATGCGCGCCCATCCCCTAAACCCTAAACCATAAGCCTCATATGGGGGATCCCGGATCTTTCGTCGGATCTTCGGAAACGACCTGGAGCTTCGGTTGGGATCTAATAGCTAGGGTTCAGGGCGTTTTTTTTGAGGGTTTAGGGCTTAGGGTTTAGGGTTTGTAGATATATTCAATTATAGCTCTAATTAGGGTTATTATTCTGACCTTACTTAACATTTTTTTATTTAACCTGTTGGTTCATGATTGAGGGTTTCGTTTTGGGCTTAGGGTTTAGCTTTTGAGTTTAAGGGCTTACAGGGAGTTAATAAAGCTCCAGGAAAGCCATGATATCAATCTTGTGCACCGAGCCAAGGCTTTTCCATTGGGTACCATGACACCACACCCGAAACCAAGTTCTTAGTAGGTAACCCTTAACCTTTCCCTGCATGCGTGTGTGCAATAAGCAAAAAGACATGTGAATGCATATATATATATATATGTATATATGTATGTATGTATATATATATATATATGTATATATACATATACATAATTAAGTGTACAACTTGACATAAGCCCACCATAAATCAAAACGTTGTGCAATCAGGGATGTCACGAAGTATTGCTTCAACATCATTGGCTGAGTCCTTTTATCCTTGAGCTTCGATGGGCTCTGCTTCAAACCTGCCGCGACCACAAGGCATCTAGCTTCCACATGGGTGCTCAAATCCCTTTGTACTTGGAGGATCATGGGACTTAGTAAGTAAGGTTATAAGTACCCTAATTGGAGTTATAAGTAGACTTACCTTATTTATAACCCTAGTTACTAAGTCCCATGATCCTCCAAGTAGGAGAAAAACCTGAACCACAACCAACAACCTGCCAGCTTCATGTCACTTTCATTCAGCATCTACGAACATGTGGGTTCTGTTACAGTATCCCTAAGAAAAGATCCTCAGGTGTGTGTGGCTTTGGGGCCCTGACCCCTAACCCCTCCACTCCGAAGTCCAGGCCCCCTGGATTCCGCAGCCTATGGTCTGATCTACGGGCCTGAATGATAATAATAATGATAATAGTAATAATAATAATAGTAATAATAATAATAGTAATAATAATCATAGTAGTAATAATAATAGTAATAATAATAACAATAATAATAATAATAGGAGGATTGTCGGGGCAGCATATGCAAGAGATATTATATTCCTGCGAAATAGTTGTAGTTGTTTGTTCCACCTGCTAGAAGGGCAAAACAAAGGCTACCCTTATAATCCAGAGAAATACTAGTGCTTGTTATTTCGACCCCTATACATAAAGGCCATCGGGATTTCGAGTTTGCTGCTGCACAGGATGTGTTTTTCTGTGTAGATTGGCAGGGAGAAATTTTGGGGTTTAGGGTTTGGAGTTGGATTCGAAACCTCCCAACACTCTATCGGATTCTTGAGTACGTATGCCCTTCAGCTTGTAACGGCAAAGCGTGTATTCATCAAATTTGCAGTCAAGGGTTTACTACCAGTAGCTATCCAGAAACCTAGACCCCAACCCCCTAAACTCGTAACCAAGCCTGTTCAACAAACACCAGAAATATTGATAATTAGGGCTCGATATTCAACAGTCAACAATAAGGGTAATTAGAGAATATCCCAAATCGGTACCTAGTGTTACATTACCTGGAACTGCGCCGGGAGGCCTCTGTCTTCTCGGGATGTTTATCCGCAACGGTCTCTGCAGAAGGTTCCTTGCACACCAGCTCAGAGCGCGGGAAGGCCTTTGAAGTTTAGGGCGTTTCTTACCCACTCGGTCATGAAATGGCGATCTTCTTATAAGAACTGCACAGCTGAACCAGAGACATCAAACATCGACCACTTCCGTGCAACTCACCTCTTTGGCTTATTGGAAACAACAAAACCGAATCCAAATCCCAACACGTCTAACCCGACGCTTGGAGTCGCCACCTTGGAACTGGACTTGCGGGCTTGTGGTGTAGGCTGTCCCAAAACTCGAAAGCACATAGGCCCTCCCATTCTCAGACCTTCCTACTTGGGCTGTGGGCTTCATGGTTTGGGGCTGAGCGTCGAGGGCTTGAGCCTAGGGCCTACGGTTCAGCTCAAGCATGCTCGCATGTGCGAACATACGCATGCTATTTATTGTTTTTATCTCTCTCTCTCTCTCTCTCTCTCTCTCTCTCTCTCTCTCTCTCCATATGTATATATATATATATATATATATATACATATAGATCAAAGTATGTATGCATGTATGCATCTATACAGATAGACAAATAGATACATAGGCAAATAATCAGATTTCTAGGTACATAGGTAGATAGGTAGATAGCTAGATGGATCGATCGATGGATAGGACCGAAAAGGTAGATAAATAGTGCTGCGTGTGTGCGCGCTTTAAACCTGTACATGCACATATACAAAAATTAACGAGTTGGCATTGCAACCCTAAGCCCCTACATAAACGTTAAACCCTAAAATCCCACTCCCTAAACCGCAAATCCCCAAACCCAAAACCCCTGGGCATCCCAACACCCTAAAACCCTGAACCCTAAACCCTAAACCCTAAACCCTCAAGTCGGCCTTCGGCGCCGTCAGCGGCGCCTCGTCTGTGGCCTTTCCCGGGCCGGCGGTCTTGGCACGGCCTCCGAAGTAGGGATTTAGGGTTTAGGGCTTGCGGGTTTAGGGTTTAAGGGTTCGGGGTCTTAGTGTTTAAGGGTTTAGGGGTTTTTGGTGTTTACGGTGTAAGGGTTTAGGGGTTTAGGGTCTAGGGTTCAGGGGGCTTATGGTTTAGGGTTGAGGGTTTATGGTTCTCGGGTTTCGGGTTTCAAGGTTTCGGGCTTAGGGGTTAAGGATTTAGGCGCGACATCCGAAGTTGAGGCTGTGGGGTTTTCGGCCATCTAGGGGTTCTCGAAAGGTTCTGCAAGGATTCTATTAAACGGTACCACGAATCACAAGGGTTTCGGGTATAGGGGTTTGTATGTACTTTTGCCGCAAAGTGAACAATGGGTGGTTTTAGGGTCGAAAATGTACTATGCGCACATGGACCCTGAGGTTACGTGCTCGGCGGCTTTTCAATTTGCAGGCTCGATATTGGGGTCTGAGGCTTTGTGATTTGGTGCTGCGGATTTTGGCGAAGAGGTTAGGGGCGGGGGGGTTTGCAGGGCGTAGAGTGGGGTCTATGGTTGGCGGGTTAGGTTTCGGATGTTGAGGTTAGGGCTTCTGCTGTTACCGTTGGTGGTTTTGCAATTTGGGGTTCGCAGCTCTTCTCGAAACAGCAGCTGCCAGTACTCAAAGCAGCCAAGTAGCTGCTGCAGGATGTCCAGCACTAGCAGTACGAACACTCACGGACAGGCTAGCCCTTTCGACCATCATGGAACCGGAGAGTATAGCGATGCCACGGTTTACATCGACAGCACCATGCATTAGCAGGCCGAAGAACAAGCACCATGAGAGCAACCACATAAGCAATACCGATGCACTTGAGTTGTTGTTAATCACCTGCTGTCGGTGCTCGTGCATTCTGCCGGCCGTGCTACATGTATGTGTCTCGTTCGATGACTGCAACCCAGCATTCCGACTATTGGTTTCCTTTGCCTCGGAGATTTGGTGCCGTCGGAGCCTGGCGTGCAAAGGCTGCATTCCGCTGATGCATGCTTCCGACTTAGATCCTAGGGCTCCGGAGTTTTTCTCCTGGAATTTATGTTCGCTCAAGATTGGCGCTGATTAGCTAGTCCTGTATGCCTGCGAAAAGGGGCTTCTTGGCCTCTTCATTGCTTGTGTTGCCTGGGAACTTACACCTCTGCACAAGATGCAGGTAAACTCGACAACTCATGGAGTCTTGCGAGGACTGCTAAGTTTGTCAGCGTTTGTTGATCTGGGATTGCCGGGTTCAGGTGGCTCGACGTGCATCAGAAACATTAGGAAGCGGGCATGCATACCTGCAGCAACTTTTTAATCCAATCGTAGCACTTCGTATGTGTGAGCATGTGCCGCCTTCACATTCGCACACATCTGTCTCTTTGTGTGCAAGAAAGACATATGTGACTAAGTAAGTAAGTAAGTATGTATGTATGTATGTATGTAGGTATGTATGTATGTACCTGTTTATGTATGTATGTACGTAGGTACGGTTATATGTATGTGTACATATATACATATGTGTGTGTGTATGCCTATGTACATAAATTCACATATGTATGTACGCACATATGTAGTACATTGATCTGTATATGTATAAGTACAATATACTATATATATATGTATATATATATATATGTTAGAACATATATGTACATACACATGCACATTCACGAAGCATCTATGTCTTCTTCCTGCACGCAAATGTCTATGCATGCAAACATGTATATGCATTCATGGATTCATGCATGTATACGTACATGCATGCATACATACTCTATACATACATACATACATACATACATACATACATACATACAGGCAGGCAGGCAGGCAGGCAGGCAGGCAGGCAGGTAGGCAGGGCAGGCAGGGCAGGCAGGGCAGGTAGATGGAGGTAAATAAATACAGACTGACAGAGGCACTCTCGACACCCGGAAAATGCAACTCTGCCGCTCCGGCGCCTGCGTCTCGGGAGCGCCTGCGGCGCCTGGTGGCCCTTTTTGCAGGGTCCAAGTTATTCTTGCCTTACCCAGAGGCTCCATAGTAGTTCCTTTTTGGGATTACCGTAGAGGATTCTATATATGAGCCCCAAAAAGGAACTACTATGGAGCCTCTGGGTAAGCCCTAAACCCTAAACCAACAATCACTAAATCGGAAACCCTCGACGCTGGACCGAGACCCTAAATTTCAAGCCCCATAAAGTCTGTCTCACCCTAAACACTACTGCACCCCGAAACCCCTCAGCCCCTAAAACCCTAAACCCCCATATCCTAAACCTCAGGCCCCAGACCCATGGGTTTGGGTCTCAAGGCTTCCGACATGCCCAAAGGGTCCTGGGTACTGCTATGGGGAGGCTTCCCCAAATCATGATCGCAATTCCTAGTTTAGAAACCCTACATTATGCTACATAAACGTACTTAGCACGCTGTGGCTTGAAGCTCCGAAACCTTTTCTGGCGGCTTTCGTGTTTTGCGGGCTTTGGTTTAGAGGCTTAGAAGTTTGGGCTTTAGAAGTTCAGGGGCTTAGGGGATTAAGGGTTAAGGGGTTAAGGGATTTAGGGGCTTAGGGTTTAGGCAATCTTCTCGGGTTTCGGGTCTTGGATTCAGAGCTGATAGGGTCTTGCCTATGCGGAAACATCCACCCCAGAAAAAAAAGCAGCCAACCTCAATCTTGAACTAGACCCAAGAGTAACCTAGGAATAAAAAGGGTGCCCTTTTTGGTTTAAAGGGGCTTATAAGGGAACCTGAACCCTCAAAAAAGGGAATAAGGGCCCACTCTGGGTCCTAGTAGTGAAGACTCGTGATTCAACATTGCAGGCCTTTTCCCGAAGGCCCAACGACCCGAACCCTTAAGGCCCTCCACCCCACACCGACCCGGCCCACAGAATCTCTTAAGCCCTGACGCCCCAAGAATCTAGAGCCATACACCCCCAGAGGCCCTGCACTACTCAGACTCCTCTAGAGACTTCTCCGAAAACTCTGAAGAAGCTCCAAACCACAACACACACACACAAACCCAGAAAACTCCATGACCCTGAACCCGGCCTGTAGACTCCTCTGAGGACGACTGCTTAGAGTCATCCGGGGGTTCCGAGGACTTCTTAGAGTCCTCTGAGGACTCTAATGACTTCTTCGAGTCCTCTGAGGACTCTGAGGACTTCTTCGAGATTCCTTCGACGATTTGCTGCACGACGTGCCCGGAGATTTTCGAGCCTCGGTCTGGCAAACAGGCGAAGCGACTTAGAGGATCATGGGACTCTGCTTATAAACCCTAAAGGTTGAACCCAAACCCTACAGAGGAACCAGCCGCTGCTATAGACCTAAGCTACGCTTGTAAACTTCTATACAACTGGGGATCCTGCCTCCTGGCTCATGACTTGAGGGGACTATGCCCTGAACCCGAAAACCCTAAGCCAAACGCAAAACCGGTTAAGGTTTAGGGTTTAGGGTTTAGGGTTTAGGGTTTAGCCTAAAGCCTTGAACCCTAAACTGCAGAAACTTACGCAACAAACCTGAAAAAGCCCGCATATAAGCCCTTCTATCTTTAACCCCTCACAAGCCCTGAACCGTACTCCCCCACCCGCACCGGAAAGTTTAAAACACAGACCAACAAGTCCTAGCAGCTGTTTCCGGTCAGCGCAGCCCGAGCCCAAGCCAGTTGCTGCTCCTCAGGGCATCAAGGGCCTATGCGAGTCCAGGGTTTAAGGTCTAGGGGTTTATGGGTTTAGGGGTTTTGGGTTTACGGGTTTAGGGTTTAAAGGTTTAAGGTGTAGGGTTTAAGGTTTAGGGGTTTCCGTTTAGGGCTTAGGGTTCCTATAATAAGGGTTGCTAGGACGGTTTAGGGTTCAGGGCTCAAAGGGATTTATGAAGGCTCCTATAAGGAATCCGGTGTAAGGCTTTAGAGTTTTAGGTTTTAGCGCCCCTTTAAGGGGATAGGGTTTACTGTGAAGGTTTATGAAGGGATCCTTCAAGGGTGCCGTCAAGGGTTCCTTTAAGGCCTCCACTGGGTATCCTTGAATCTACGTCAGTTACTACCATCAGAGTTCCATACTCTTAGAAGGGTTGCCATCACGGTTCATGTACTTACACACCATTCCACGTGGGGTCTACAATGGGTGCTCTGCACAAGGGTTCTGATCTGCAGGGGCTACAACAAGAGTTCTACCAGGGTTGTTTTAGGGCATGGGCTTAAGTTTTTGGCATTAAGGTTTAGGGTTTAGGGCTTAAGCCTGTGCACAATGTCTGACAAGATCTGAACATTCGTAACATGTGAGATTTCGCGCCTCATGATTCCGTCACGGATGTTATTGCAACCCCTCAAGCCTCTCTTTTGAATCCAAAATCATTACTACTATTTGCTTCAGAACCCCCAAGAAAATAGAAAACAAGAGTTCCCTATATTACCCCTATAAGGAATATTTTTTTTAATTTTTTTGGGTGCTCTTAAGCAAAAAGTAGATTACGATGTCGGTCTCCAGACCCAGGGCACGCTTGGCACGCTTGCGGTCATGGTCCTCTGTCGCCGGCGGGCGGAACCACGTGGGAGTTTGCAAAAATTGGGGGTACCGTATTTTGGGGTCCTTATAATAAGGATCCTACTATTTAGGGTACCATATTAGGGTCCCCTATTTTCGGAAACTCCCACATGAAATAAACATGCCATTGAAGCCGGCGTTAAAGTTCGTGAAGCTCAGGTGGCTATGCGCCGGCCTGAGGTATTGCCGCAGGGCCCAGTGTGACTCATCACAGGGCTCCGAGCAAGCAACCTCCACTTTGCGGAGGATCATTTGCGAAAGCTGGCGCGGAGCTCCTCTGACGGGGGTGGCGACATTTCCGAGGGCTTTCCGGAAACTGCATGTCGAAAACCACCTTGGCCGTAACCTCCAGCTCCACCGATGACAGTCGCCACGGACATCGTGAATAATTAGAGCAACCAAGGCCCTGCTACCAAAATACTTCTACATTCTTACACAACCCTACATCAAGCTCATAAAACCTGCAAGCCCTAGTAAATAGCCATGTCATCACATCTATTTGCTATCGCCCCTTTTTACACTCCTATACATTCATGTCGTGGCGTGTCGCCGAGCTAGGGCAGCTGGGTTGCTCCAATCTTGCGTTTCTATAAGGGTTACTATAAGGGCTACTACAAGAGGGCTGATCCTTTTTTGTCAAGAAGGGCTCTACAACGGTTCGAGAAGGGTTCTCGGAACCCGCAATAAGACGTCTATCTTCACAAGTGTCACCCCCCCCGCCAGTTTCCACAAAACCTTTTCTGGACCTTGAAGTAACAAGGAAAACACTAGGCGTTCATTTCATCCTGGTTCCTTCAAGGAACAGGTGCCACCAACAAAAATTACTACTTACAGCGTGGAACTCCAGAACCGAGTTTTACTTTGTACCAGCCGCTTCGGGCTGCGGGCCTGTACAATAGGCAGCCAGGCGGTAAGGCGGACCAATATTTCCCCCAGCACCCTGATTATTCCAATCGAGAAGACCCTGGGTGTCGGGGTTAGGGCTAAGACCCTAAACTGGGTAGAGTCTTATAACGCCCTATGTACACCATATGCAATCCGGGATGCCAAACAAAAATCACGACGATTGGAACGAACGGCTGCGTAGACGAGCCGTGCAGTGTGCAACAACCCGCTGACAAGCTTAAAGCCTAACATGTAAAACTAGTGCACCACGAAGGTGTGTAGCCAAAAGGCACCCCCAGACCTTCTAAACCTAAACCCTCGAACCCAAAGCCAGAAAGACTGGGCGCCAGGCCGTTTGTGCCCTGCACGGTGTGGCTTTGAGAGGATTTGGAATGTCAGGTCGGGGGATTCACGGGACCGCAATGCAGGTTTAGAGTCTAGAGTTTAATTAGGGGCTTAGCGTTTAGAGTTTCATGAGCCATCTCTCCAAACAGTCCAAAGTAGGTAGCATTTATAGACTTTAGACCCCAAAGTAGGTAGTATTTATAGACTTTAGACCCCCAAAGTAGGTAGTGTTTGCATACTTGGAGTCTTAGGGGTAGAGGGCAACCTGTGCCCAAGCAAAGCGTGGCGTAGTTCCCGGGGTCCAGGCGAAGTTGACGGGTTCCCGGTGGCATTTTGCGGGCTTTCAGGGTTTGGGTCAAGGATCCCCAGTATCCTATGGGAATAAAGGGCCCCCTTGTTTGGTATTCCCTAAGACTCCAAGTATGCATAAACACTACCTACTTTGGGGGTCTAAAGTCTATAAATACTACCTACTTTGGGCTATTTGGTGTCTTAGGGATTGGGTAGTGGTATATGGAACGTAAGAGAAGAGAAACATGGAAATGTGTGCAAGGCGCAGCCATGAGGACACCGGGCTTTTAGGCTTCGGGTAAACCCCTACTGCCGAAACCTTCAAAATGAGCGAAGGTTAGGGTTTAGGGTTCCGGGTTTGGCTCCATGAAATCTAGCCTTCACCCTTCGAAGACGAACAGAACCCAAGGCCGAACGTAAAACCTAAGCCTAAACCATGTAACGCCCGGTCCCTATAAGGGTCCATGTAGCTATATAGTATAGACCATGGGCCTTAAAGTAGTCCCTATGTAGGTACTTTAGGGCCCAAAGTATCTAGTATATGGGTACATGGACCCTTGGGGGGTTAAAACCCCACGGCCCTTCAGATCAACCCTGTCACCCGGCTGAGACGAACCGATCAGGCTCAAGGCAGCTACTGGCCCAACGCCCCTCCCCCGACGGCCTTGGGTTCTTGTAAAGGTAGGGAGCTTACCATTTAATGTACATACCCTAAGGGTCCAAAGGACACAATAATTAGGTACTCGGTTTTCGGATAGTAGTTATTTTGGAGAGAATACAGACTTGGACCCTTAGGGTTACATCCATACTTCCTTCTCCTCAATCTCAGACCTGCGCCAAGGCCCCCAGGTTGGGTTTCTGTTCTGAGCACGCAGCCGTCACGGCCTTTGCAGCCTCTCTCGTGGCTAAGATGCACTGTGATGCTCTTCTCCCTGCTTGCTGCACTGCCACCGCGGATGGTAGCAAATCCCACAGATCACGGCCTGCCAGAACTAGTTATGCCAGAAGTTGTAAGTTGGCTGCTCCGAGAGCTTCTCACCTTCTGTAGTCCTACCCTGACGCATCAGCAGAACCTGACCTGCGCATCAAACCCCTTGCGTACATCAACAAAGCCATCGAATCCTGGCACAGACTTTTTGAAGGGAAAGCTAAGTCCAAGGCCCTGAAGCATAAACCCCGCCACCCCAAACTCTGTAAGCTCCCCCCAAACCCACAAACCTGGAACCCTAGACCCTAAAACCGAAACCCCAAACTCCGCTGTTCATGACTTCAAAGCTCGGATGCTGAAGCCCTACATACATCCCGTAACTCCGAAGTCCCTGAATCCCTGAAACCTATGAATTTCGGGGGGGGGGTCAAGGGCTTAGGATTTGAAGTTTGGGGGTCTAGGTTTAGGGCATAGGGTGTAGCATCGTGCAAGTAAAGGTTGAACCGCTGCCAATGAACCACACTGTCATCCGGTGAAGGTTGAAGTTCAGCCATCGTATATATGGGAGTTTCCAAAAATGGGGGGGACCCTAATGTAGTACCCCAGATAGTAGGATCCTTATTACAAGGACCCCTAAAATAAGGTACCCCCTAATTTTCGGAAATTCCCATATTGAGCTTCTCAGCTCCGAAACCCTGAGCGGCCACGCCGAACCCAAGATCTGGCTGCATGAGCAAGCGAACACCCAAACGAGCCCAGAAGCAAACCCTGTAATAGTGACTAAACGGATTATATTAGGGCCCTATTATATTCCTATTATACCACTATTACAGGGTGGGGGCAGCTTCTAACTCATAAGCCGGCACAAAACTCGCAGAGCAGTGGCTGGACCGATATTTCCTACCCATGAACGTGGACATCTTTTGCAAAACCCTATCGGCCTAGGCCCTGTAAGGCCTGAATAAATAAATATATATATATATATATATATACTATATACTATATGGTATAATAGGTCCATTGACCATTTACAGTAGGGAGCAATGAAACGAAGACCTTTGCCTCCAAAAAAACACAGGTCCTCCGGCATTCCTTACTTGGAGGGTCCAGGGACTTAGTAACTGGTTATTTTAGGGACTTATAAGTACCATGACCCCAATTAGGGTCCCTTTTAGGGTACTTATAAGTCTACTTACTACCTACTTACTAAGTTCCCCGACCCTCCAAGTAAGCCTTAAGCCGCTTGGGGAACTTTGCCCTCCAACCTGCAAACACTCTACACTCCGAACCTTGCTTTGGGGAAACCAGAGAGCCCAATACCCCTTAATTAAGGAATATACCTTAAATAATAAGGGGATTCATATTATGATTTAAGCCATATTCCTACTCTACACTCCAAACCTTGCTTTGCCCTAAGGGTCCATGTACCTATATAGCATATACCATGGGCCTTAAAGTAGTCCCTATATAGGTACTTACTTTAGGGCCAAAGTATCTAGTGTATGGGTACATGGACCCTCAGGGTTGGGGAAGCCCTGATCATGACGTGTCGCAAACACAAAACCCTACGTAACCTTTACTGTACTGCAGGGAAGTAACGATCAACCCAAAAATTGCAAACCAAGAACTGCTAAGCCGCCCCGAGCCTTCAAGACCCTCTATGCACCCACCCAAGGCCTGTCTCCGTGTCGAAATGACAACCGATTTCGGCCCTCGCGTGCCAACTTCCTGGGCATGCAAACTCGGAGACTGTTAGTTGCAAATTTAAGACTTTTAGGGGCTTTTAGGGCCGAGGAAATTTAGGCTTTGCGCTGGGTTATGTAGAGGGTTTTGAATGAGAGGACCCGGCCTTGAACCTTGCATGCTTACGGCGAAAGATCTTCCTAGTTCCGCGGGCTACTGAGTTCGGGCTTTTCCCGAACCCAAAGTAAAGAAACCAATTCTGCAAATGAACTGATAGAGCAAACCTGGTCATTGCGAGCGCAGTTATGGCGGTCGTGGTAGCAGCAATACAAGTGGTATTACCAGTAGTAGGTAATGGCAACGAAAACTGGTGACTGTCGGCTCATATCGGTGCTGGTAGCTATTACTGTTACCTCGATCAGCTCGATTGTGCTGCAACGCCTTGAAATTAACCTTATAGCTTCCCAGCATCTAACTCTAAACCCTAAACCCTGAGCTCTAAACCCTAAACCCTAGAGTCTTACTCACAACATGCCATCACTCCTCAACCAAAAACGCCAAGACCACAATAAACTATACCTTTTCAAACCACCTTGTATTTGTACCTTTAAACCCCAAAACTACCCAAAACCCTCAACCGTAGATCCTAAACCATACCACTTAAAATCGTTTATGACGATGAAGCCCACTGACTTCGAGCACCCCACGTTAGTCTTTCTCGAAGTAGAGGGCCGATAAAGCGGTGCTGCCGCTCCCCTGCATAGGCTTCAAGTTTAGGGTTGAGGGGTTAAGGCTAGGTTTCGGGGCCGTATATACTATAGTTATAAGACGGAGCCCCCAAAATAGTATTGGTAATTATGTAGGCCCCTATAGTAGGGTTTAGGGTTAGGGGTGTGCCTTAACCCTAAAGGCAGGGTTTAGGGTTTAGGGTGTGGGTTCACTTTTTTAGGGTACTATACGCTCTCATAAGGTGCCGTCGGGTTAAGGCTAAGGATGTCACATTTACAGTCAGTTATAGAGTTGAGGGTTCTAGGGTGTGGAGTTAAGGGGTTTTGTTGTCCGGCATTCAAATGGACTTATCTTCCTCTCATCAGTCTTCATGATTAGACGATCAGTCCTGTCCCCAATATGGCTAGGACATGCTGGTTGGGATTGCAGTATGATTACGATGTAAGTATATAATCATTCACGTTTATCAGCCAGGCTTCCGGCAGAAATATGTGTAAACCTGACAACTACATCAAAGAGCGATATGACGATTCGGGTTCGCACATGCATCCTTATAAGACCCGAAGATTCCTTCAACCCGAAACACAGTGTAAACACAGTGTGCCACTGAAACGGTAAACTTGTGGGACTTTGCCACACTCTGAACACATAGGCTGAAGCGACTGCAACCTCGTTTTGCTTCATCTAGATCTAGAGCGCATACAGTTATCTTGTAATAACCTTTAGAAACCCTGAAGGCACGTTACACAAAGTCCTTACACCAGCACCTCCAAGGGGATCTCGTAGCACGGACTGCAGAAGGACGATGTTAGTGACCTGAAGAAGATTGGCGTAGGAATCAAGCCACAGCCACCAATCCTGAGAGTGCATGTGCCCATAAAGTGCCCATATAGGGACGATTTTCAAGAGAAAGCACATACTGTACCGTATGAATACATGGACCGTCAGGGAAGACATGAAAAACGGCTTCCGGGTTGGAATTTGGGGATTTTGTGGGTCCATCCCCTACCAACCCACCTTCCTCCGGACCCTTCAACCGGCTCCAGGACCAGTTGGTTCCCCTTCCCTTCTGTCCTTCCTCCTCCCCCCCGCCCCCCACCCGCTTCTCTCTCCCCCCCGCTCTTCTCCTCCCCTTGTTTGTTTGCTTGCTGTTTCCCACCCTTTCCCGGGCCGAGGCGGGCGACGCGAAGCGATTGCAACTATGTATGTATGCAATGCAAGCATGGACGTAGGTGTGCAGCATGACCAGCTTTTGAGGCTCCATGAAAAACCCACTGCAGCTATATAGGTAGCAACTGTAATTCCCTTTTTGGGTTTACCTTATAGGATCCGAAATGCATATGAAATTAGTTAAACAGTTAAACCAATAAAACAAAATAGAATAGGTATGTGGCAGGACACAAGCGGAAGACTGCTGCTTCTGCCTTGTGGCTGCACTGCTTCAGTTCTTTGGCGAGTAGAACATCAAACCTGCACTGCCCCACAGCCTAATACGCAAGCATACCCAAGCCTTAAATCCTAAACGAAGTAATACACTTCGAACTCTTCTCTATCCATCATCATGATGAAACCCAGACCCTAAGGGTCCAAGTACTCCTTATTTTAGGACTGACTCCTTATTTTAGGACTTTGAGGCCTCTTTGGGTACCAAAAACCATAAATAAGGACTAGTTGGACCCTTAACCCTAGATCCTAAAACCTTAACCGAAGGTCCTAAACCCTCTTGTCTATATACCGCTTAGCCCAAAACCCGAGGAAAGAAAAGTTGAAACTTTCAGAATCGACTACCTTATAAGAACCCCAAAAGTTGAAAGGTTGAGTTTACAGCCAATAAGTAGAGGCCCATGATGAAACCCAGACCCAGAGCCAATCTCTTCGAAGCAGAGCGGCAGCAAAAATGCCCAGGAGCGCGAGGCCGCAGAGAGCAACCGTCCTAGGAACGGCTCAGTTCGGACGCCGGGAGATAAGGGTTCCTTTTTGGGGGTTTAGGGGTTATAGGGTTTAAGGGTTTAGGGGTTTAAGGGTTTAGGGTTTAGGGGTTTAAGGGTTTAGGGGTTTAGGGGTTTAAGGGTTAAGGGTTTAGGGGTTTAAGGGTTTAGGGGTTTAAGGGTTTAGGGGTTATAGGGGTTTAAGGGTTTAGGGTTTAGGGGTTTAGGGTTTATAGGGGTTTTAGGGTTTAGGGGTTTAAGGGTTTAGGGTTTAGGGGTTTAAGGGTTTAGGGTTTAGGGGTTTAAGGGTTTAGGGTTAAGGGTTTAGGGCTTAGGGGTTTAAGGGTTTTAGGGGTTTAAGGGTTTAGGGGTTTAGGGGTTATAGGGGTTTAAGGGTTTAAGGGTTTAAGGGTTTTAGGGGTTTAGGGGTTTAAGGGTTTCGGGGTTTAGGGGTTTAGGGGGTTTAGGGTTTTAGGGGTTTAAGGGTTTTAGGGGTTTAAGGGTTTTAGGGGTTTAGGGGGTTTAGGGTTTTAGGGGTTTAAGGGTTTTAGGGGTTTAAGGGTTTTAGGGGTTTAGGGGTTTAGGGGGTTTAGGGTTTTAGGGGTTTAAGGGTTTTAGGGGTTTAAGGGTTTTCGGGGTTATAGGGGTTTAAGGGGTTTAGGGGTTTAGGGGTTATAGGGGTTTAAGGGTTTAGGGTTTAGGGGTTTAAGGGTTTTAGGGGTTTAGGTGTTATAGGGGTTTAAGGGTTTAGGGGTTTAAGGGTTTTAGGGGTTTAGGGGTTATAGGGGTTTAAGGGTTTAGGGTTTAGGGGTTTAAGGGTTTTAGGGGTTTAGGGGTTATAGGGGTTTAAGGGTTTAGGGTTTAGGGGTTTAAGGGTTTAGGGGTTTAAGGGTTCAGGGGTTTAGGGTTTAGGGGTTTAGGGCTTTGGGGTTGCGGTGTCTCAGGTCCTGAACGATAGAATCCTAACACACAGCCCGTTCAATCAAACGACAGAAACACATGTACGCGCTTGCATTTCATGCGTACATATTATGCCTAAAATGCCATGTGTAGTACATACTTATCACATGTCCCCGCGATGTGATCGATCAAAACAGTGGAGCTCAGATAATGCTGAGGCTTGTAGCAAACAATCAGCCTTTGTTACATACTTGGGTCACTGGGTGGATGGTTTTCAAAATTATGATCCCTTTTGGGTACCTATTATAATACGGCACCTAATACTTGGGGTACCCCAAAAGGGACCATAATTTTAAGAACTACCCGGGTACATAGAGCAGGTGCGGGCCGAGGTCGTGTGCCCCTTCGCCGACGAAGTCTTGGCCTGTCTCAGGGACTCCTGCTGGCCAGCCACTCTCTGGTGAAGATCGGCATGGTACGCCAGGGTCCAAGTACCTAATAATCAAAAACTCTCTGAAATCCTAACCTACATAACTAATTACTATCCTACAACCGAGTACCTAATTATTGGGTCCTTGGGACCTTTCGGGGGAACTGGTCGCCTCTCTGTCCTCCAGCTTCGTTAAGTAGTTTTCCCACGATTCTCATGTCGTGGGAAAGCATCTGTACCATCAGCTCAAACTCTTCTCGCTCCGATTCGCCTGCGGCGATGTGCTTCTTGGAGTTCTGCACCTGGAGCTTGGTCGCATTCCCTGCATCATGCTCCTTCAGAAGCACAGTCAGTCACCAATGAGATTTGCATGAGATTGAACTGTGCGGAATTCTCCGACGGCGCTAGCTGCAACCCCAGCTGGAAGTTCGTCTCACCACTCAGGAAGGCTTTCTGACAGCCTTGCTGACAATGCCCTGTTCACACAACTCCTGCTCTATCGACAGGACAAGCTGAGACATGCAGGCTGCTTTCAGAATCACATGGGTGGTTGTCAAAAATATGGTCCCTTTTTTGGTCCCTATTATAATACAGCACCTCTAATTTAGGCTACCCAAAAAGGGACCATCATTTTGACAACTACCCACATCCTTGCTGAGCTTCCCTCTCAGTTCAGGAAGCTGCCGGCGGGTATTCGGGTTGTGGGTCGAGGGCTTGGGTTCCTACTGTTGATGATATAAATCCTGCATTACCCATAATAAGGAATATACCAGAATTCCTATAGTTAAGGGTCCTTAAGGTCATGCAGGATTTATATCATCAACCGTAGGAGCAGTATGGTGCAATGTAGGGTCTTGTAGGGCTTAGGTTTAAGTTCGATGCTCTAGGGAGTCGAGGGCTCAGGGCGAAAGTTGTCAACATGCCTACGCCCCAAATTCCAAAGTCCTCCATCGAGGTTCAGGGTTCAAGATCCTGAACCCCATGGCACCACGGTTTAGGGTTGTAGGGTTGTAGGGTTTAGGGTTTAGGGTTTAGGGTCCTCTTAAACCCCACACCCTAAACGTGCCATCAGTTGGTCGGGCCGCCGCATTTCTCTCCAAGATGGTCGAAACTAAAGCCCCAAAGTTGAACGGCGTAAAGGATTAAGCCCGAAACCCCACTTTACAGTTTCGGGTATAACCCTCATGGGACCTACGGATTATACCAGAAACCCTAATTCAGGGTTTCGAGTCGGGTGTAATCCCTATAGGATCTTCGAACGGGATTGGAAGTTGCTAGGATACCCAGTAACCTAAGAATAAAAAGGCCTCCCTTTTTGGTATTGGGTAACTTTATAAGGAACCTAGGACTACAAAAAAGGAATAAGGGTACTACTGGGCACCCTAGGTTGCCAAGATTCACATTCTTCTGCAGCTGACGGGCGCGAGCTTCCTCGCTGCTGGGCTTGGTGCACGCTTAGGGCTCCTCTTTGGGGGGTTTCGGGTTTAGGGGTTTAGGGTTTCGGGGTTTAAGGGTTTAGGGTTCATAGGTCTTGCGGGGTGTATAGGATTTGTGGTATATATGGGGTTTAAGGCTTGTAGGGTTTGTGGGGCTTTTGAGGTTGAGCAGGTTTATGGTGCCTATAAGGTTGAAAGGGTTCAGGTGTTTTATAGGGTTTTTCGGTTTACAAGGTTAAGGGCTTATAGAGGTTTGGCGGGTCAAAGTTCGTGGTTCTGAGGTTGTTGGTTTGGGGTGTCGGGCTTGAGGTTTAGGACTAGGAGACTACAAGATTGAGGGCAACCCTAGCGGCACATGCAGAAGCTAGCATACCTGAATCAAAACTGCCATACCCTGAGCCGCAAACTCCATTCTGCAACTGCAACCCCCTCGAGAAGGAGCCCACTAAATAACAGGGCTTGAGGGTATATTAACTACAATAAGGAAGCCCCACAACAGTCCCCAAGGGTCCAAGTACCTAATAATCATATACTCTCCAAAATCCTAACCTACATAACTACTATCCTAAAACCGAGTATCTAATTATTGGCTCCTTTGGACCCTTGGGGAGTATTGGTAATTATCTAATGAGCCCCCTATATATTATGCAGCTCAGAAGATCGTTAGGGTTTAGGGATCACGTCTGCCACAACAACGACCAAACACACCAAGCAAGGGTTTAGGGTTTAGGGTTTAGGGCTTAGGGTAAAAAAGCAACAAGAGCAAATCCAGCTTCCCCCATTCCGTCCTCGTTGCACTTCCTCTGCTCACTCAAGCGCTTTTCCGAGCTGTCAATCACGGCTCGCATTGGCACTTATTCTGGCTGAAGTACCCGCTTGGTTTCTCTAGCCGCTGTGCATGCTGCGTGCTGCCTAGTTACACATGGTTGCCCTAGGGAGGTGTTTATTTTCTCCGCATCCTATCCAGCAGCTGCTGGGCCAAGTCTCTAGTCACTCTAGACTGCAGCCTCGCATCTTAAGGCCAGCCCCGCTAAACACTGCTGTTTATCTGCCATATGGGATCTTGAAAGCACGACGTCGTGGAGGGTCTGCGAGCCGAACAGGATGAAAATGCAACGACTGCAAACCTGCTGCAGTTGTAGCGGAATGCGATACAGCGAAACGACATGCACCTGAAGGGACTATACGTAGTCATACCTGCAACCCCAAAGCCAAAACTGTATACTGCCAGTCTTCAGGTTGAACACGGGCTGGGAGGACTGAAGATGCATCTGTTCTGCGATGACGGGTATCCCATGCAAAGGACCCACCCAAGGAGACCACAAACACGATACCGTGGGGCCTATCTGATTTTAGTTAGCTTTTGGTGGTATCTTTCAATACTATATCCCTATGTAGACGCTATGCGGAATCTCAGGTTAAAACCATTCCGACTTCTACACCATGGCAGCGAAAGCCATTTAGAGCTTTTCTGGTCGCCCAACGCTTTCAAAACCACGCATCATGAAGATCCATGAAGCGCAAAGCCTGAATCCAAACCCCAAGCGATGAAGGAGACTCAGGAAAAGGAGAAACATGTTTGCACGTCCTTCTAGACTTAAACCTGACAAACAGCGCGTATCGGTGCCAGCCGTTTAGTCCACGGGTGCCATGAGACCCAGAGAGTTTCGGTGAAGGGATGCTCCAAGGTACACCACTGGGACAATCATGGGACTTATTAGAGGTATAAGTACCTGAAACGGGGTTATGAACAAATGTAAGCATAGTTACCTGGTTTATGGCCCTATAGTTACTAAGTCCCATGAACCTTCAAGCAGGGGTCAATTGCTTCGGGCATTTGGACATCTAGCTGTCAATGCAGTCGGATTTTGGGCATGGCGAGCGCACTATCCACGAGTGCCATGGCCACAAAGAGTGTGACAAACTTGACGGCTGCAAAAGGCACTGGTGCAAGGACTTGCAGTCGTTGCCGCTTGCAAAGCGCAGGGTAAGCTGGCTCCTGTGTCTGTCCTTCAGGGCGTTCTCGTGCCGTCTATACCACATTCTCGTAACAGAAGGCAACGCATGCGAGAAAGATTCAGAGGCGCCATTAAGTTTTGTAGGCGACCCAGTCGCGGAGCCAGTTTCCAGCTCGCTGCACCTGCACCGCAACGAAGAGCCCCGCCATGGTTGCCATCTGCCCAGACATCTCGAAGCTTGCCATCCCCACACAGGCGACCACAAAGGCCAGCAGAAGGAGCATCAGCAGCTCCGGGATCCTCCCCAAGTTCACCCGGAAGCGCCCGATTTGCCAAACATTGCCGGGAGGGCTTTCCTTCTCTGCCTCCTTGGCGGCAGCCTGGCGCTTCCGCGCCTTGCTCTCGGCGACCATGGCGCGAAGCGCTTCGCCCTCCGCTTGAGGCAGGGGCGGTAGGGGGGAGTTCTGGAGCCTGGGGCACCCTGTTTGGGAGTTGAAGGGGTCCAGGGGTTTATATTCGGGTCTCTTGGTCCGTGAAACTCCTAGATGGTGGGACCAGAATTCATCGAGAGTCTTCGAGTAAACGGGCATCCAGAGGTCTACAACAGCTTGAGGTCTTGCTGAGCAGGACACCATAAATTCCACAAGCTCTTGAGGATGTGCTTGAGCAATCAGCTACACGCTGCCGGATTCGGTACAACTATGCTATGCATTCACCTGAGCAACACGTAGACAGCATTAAGGCATATCAGCTGCGCGTGCCTATTGCAACCCCAAGTGAAGGGAAGCCCGAAAACAAGTTTTGCAGTATATAATTTAAATTATATAATGCCGATTTCCAGATAGTAGCATAACTAGTTCAGCCGGGTCGTAGAGCAGTCTCGACAGTATCAGGTCGCAAGACACGTTGGGACAGGTGCATGAATCTACAGATCATGCTGCATGGGGCTCTTGATGTAGCTGCAGATGCAATTAATAGTTGCATAGCTGGCGCATGGCGCATCAGTGGGGAATGGGAACACTATTCCACGGGGCCCAAGACGAGTCTCAGCAACCCCCCACTACCGAGGCTCGAACTCTGCATGGTCTTGTTGCCTGCACCCGAAACCGCCGGCCGTTGCGTCTCTCACAGACTCGAGAGCACGTCATGCAGCAGCTGGAGAGCCTTCCTTAGTGCCCCAGGCCCTAAACCCTGAACCCCTAAACCCGAAACCCTAAACCCTGATCCCTAATCCCGGAGCCCTAAACATTGAATCTATAAACCCGAAACCCTTGATTGAGATGCAGCTCTTCATCGGGGTCCAGAGAATGACCCAGCTTCCGAAGGCAAGCCGGGCTCGGGGATTCGCAAGTTACAAAGGTCTTGATGGCGATGACTCGGCGATGACGATGGGAATGATGATGATGACGATGATGATGATAGTAGTGCTGATGACAATGATAACAATAATAATGAAGACGATAATGGAAAACCAGGTCGTGATGATATTGATGATGATGATGAAGATGATGATGATGATGATGAACATGATGGCCGTGATAAGCGAGGTCATGATGATGATGATGATCATCATCATCATGATGAAAGTACGAAGACCGTTATAGTGGGAATTGGGATGATGGCGATCGCGATGCTGGCGAAGACGACGATGACGATGACGACGAGGGTGGTAAGTGACAGCAAAGAAGCGGAGACAATCAACGGATGGCAGCAGCACGGCGAATAAAAAAGCAGGGCACAGCCTTCGTGGAGGTGACGATGCGAATGATCGGGCTGATGACGGAGCCGGCGAAGGGTTTAGGGTTTAGGGCTCAGGGGAAAATAAGATTATGATTATTCAAACTCGGGAAGAAAGACTGCACACCGAGACTCTCCGGATCCGGTAGCGGTTCCACCGTGGCATCCGCAGGAAGGCTTTCGTCGAAGCTCCGAGGAGCCAGGGAAGCATTCCTCGAAGCAATTGCCAAGTGGCACAATTTAGAGTTTAGTTTAGGGTTTAGGATTCAGGGTTTTGGGTAATCGACCATCTGCTGGACGTTTAGGAGATGCATAGGGAATGCTAGAGCTGACAGGCCTTGAGAAGATTGTAGTCAATTTTGATCTCACAGGGTGGTTCCACTGCTTTGGTAGAACCTGGCCACCCCTGGGCGAAATTTATCCTAATTGTCAAGAGATGAGTATACCATAAACCCTAAACAACTGGTTTGCTTGCATGCTTGCAGAATTATGCTTGTGGCGCGCCTTGAAGCAATCGACATATCCCCCCTAAACACCCTCCAACCCTGGAAAGTGTCTTCTACCCGACATACCCCATCCCTAAAACCCAAGAAATGTCCCAAACCCCTGAAAGCAACGGTGTAGAACGCGTGACAAGAGCTCGATCAAATCCTGAAAATCCCCAACCAATTTTTAAAAGCCTTTTAAAGGAAATCTCTTAAATCCTTTAAAGGAAACTAATGAAATCCTTTACAGGAACTCTCCAAAATCTTTAAGGAAACCAAAGAAATCCTTGAAAGGAAACCTGCAAAATCATTTTTCAGGAAATCTAGGAAACCCTGAAAATCCCTAACCAACCTCATACAATCCTTTAAAGGAGCTCTCTAACATCCTTAAAAAGGAAACCTCTAAAATCCTGTTTCAGGAATTCTCTAAAATCCTTCAAAGGAAATCAAAAAAATCTGTTAAACGAAATCCTCTAAATCCTTTGAAGGAAGCCCAAAATATCCTTTAAAGGAAATCCTCCAAAAAAATCCCTTTAAAGGAAATCTAAAAAACCCTTTAACCGAAATTCTCTAAACTCCTTTAACGGAAATTTAAAGAAACCCTGAAAATCCCTAGAAACCGAGGCTCCAGGATCCCTCGGCTGCCTCCCCTGCAGGCCCAGGAACCGATGGAATGCACAGCGCTCGCCTGGGATTTTTTTTGTAGGAAGATTTCGGTAAAAGGAAATTTTTTTTGTGTAGTACGATTTCGGTAAAATGAGACTTTTGTGTAGTACGATTTCGGTGAAATGAAGATTAATGGCTGCGATTTTGGGGGAATTCGAGTTGGGCGATGTCTTCGCACTTCCTGCTTATAAGTTTTTTCGGGGTGTAAATTCGAGCCTGACGGTATCTTCGCATCCGAGGTTGCCACAATGCTGCCAGGTTCGATGTTCCCCAAAGCGCAAAAAACACTGGCAGCGATTTTTCACCAAAATTCTAAAACCCTGGCATCTCCGGGAAGGGGGGGGGGGGGGGTGAGCCATAGTTGCTCAGATTCCAGATTCGGGAATTGTGTGAAATTCGAGCCTGGCGATGTGGTCGCAAGCTGTGAATATCCCCACCGCCATGGCCCACTCTCCCGTTGATGGAAGAGGGCATGGATCAGGGGGGCGGGGGGGGGGGGGGGGGGGGGCGTGAGCACATATGCATGCATAAATATGAACATATATATATATACACATAAAATATTGTATGTATATATATATATATATGTAATTATTTATTTATTTATATGTATGTGTGTATGTATATATATATATATAATATGACCCTACACCGTATGTCCTAAATCCAACACCCTGAATCCAAGGCCCTCTGCCCTAACCCGTCAAGCTTAAGCCCTAGATGCCAGAAATATCTGGAATGCGGGTTGCCAATAGCCGGGCGCCAGCTGCAGGGAGTCTCCGACGTTAGTCGACATGTCTTCCAAGTCCTGCTATCTTTGATGTCATATACAGCTTCTAGTTTGCAATGTTTATTGTAGCCATTTATCTATCTGTCGATCTGTGGATCCATATATATATATATATATATACTTTGTATATTGCAATTTGTATAGTGCATACTATAACCTACATCCTATGTACTGCTGTCCTTTATTTGCTACATAGTTCGTACTCCGCACTGTATATTTATATACTGTATACTACACACGAACTATTCGGTGTATGAAACCTTCCACCCAAAATGCAACACATTACAAATAACATATGAGTTGCAGTCGCGTATACTGCTGAACGTAGAGTCCGATTAGGACCCATAAGGTTTCGGGTTCAGGCTGTCTTGTTGGAGAGGCGACTGATGCTCGTAAAGCACATATGTCGTATTGCTACCGTCTTCATCGTGTGCCAATTGAAATGTCATCAGTCGTCAGTCATACTTCGCAAGTGAGTAGAGCTGTCCAGCATAGGACTGCAGCTGGTGGACCCAGACAGCGCCAGATTCCAAGCTGCAACGCCCCTGAAATCAGAATCCCAAGCCCTGTATTCTGGGCAGCACGGCACAGACCCAGAGGCTTCTTATCATCAACACCGAACTTGGAGGTTCCTGGGACCTAGTATCTAAGGTTATAATCACCCTACGTGGAGTTACAAGTAACCAGAAGTAGAGGTACCTTAGTTATAGCCTTATGTACTAAGTCCCATGATCCTCCAAGAAGGGTTTCCATAGCAAAGGAAGCACGAAGAACCTCTTGTTCGACGATTTCGTGTTTGCCCTTACAGTCAGAAACATCAAAACCTCATGGGGCAAGGCTTCAAGCACTCCACCCCGTGCTGCATCCTAAACCCAAACCTTAAAGCCTGAGCAGCCCCTCTGAGCTCCCCAACTTGCGCAAACCTTCCAGAGCCCCAAACCTTAAGCCCTTGGCTCCACTCAGCCTTAAGTGTCCAAGTCCGAACTCCCCTTCACCCTTTCGATGTACGAAAGGCCGTCCTGCTTGATACCTTTGCGGCAGAAGTACATATTTTATGAGTATTTGGACCCCGGGGTTAAGTTCCTTCCCAAGCGAACTAGCTCTTCCGTTGTGGTGTCTTCAAGTGAAAGGTCATCAGACCCTAAACCCGATGAAACCTGCAGTGAAACTCGTAAGCAAACCTTTACAGCCTGTAAACTTAAACCCAACAAACCTGCAAAAGCTGTACAAAGGCACTGGTCAACTCCGGTTAAGAACTCACATAGAATCCGTTCAGACCCTAGCATATCAACACACCCAGTTTCGGGCGCCTTCTGCAGCGCGGCCTTCAGCGATTCTCGTACTAGCGCCAGTGCCGCCGCCCCGGGGAGGGACTGAGCCGGGTTTCTTTTTGGTAGGGTTTATTGCTTAGGGTTATAAGGGCTGCCCAAAACCCTGCTATAGGGGTCTTGATAATTAAAATAGGAGCTGGGGGCCCATTATACCGTAATTATAATAAGAACCCCCCCAAAACAGTATAGGTAAATATTGAGGCCCCTACATTACACCCTAAACCCTCGTAGGAGAGTTGGGTTAGGGTTGGGCATTGGGTTCTCCGACAGATTTGGGCCAATAACTGAGGGATTGAGTTTGCAACAGGGCTCAAGATTCAGAACTTACGCAGACCCTTATTATGTTGGTTTAGGGTTTAGGGTTTAGGGCATATATATATATATGTATATATCCAAAAAGCCTCTGCTCACGACCATGTATGTGACCGATAGGACCCTACACAACCCTGTCAAGTCTCATATAAATACAACTCTGAACCAGACCCTAGACGCTAAACCGTTACACCCATGAAACCCTAAACCCTAAACCCTATAAGCCCTAAACCCCTCGAAGGCCTCTTCCAGCTTTGGAAAGCGCTGCCGTCGCAGTGCCCTCGCCAAAGTTAGCAGCGCGAAGTCCAGTCTTCTGGCTACGCCTTGCGCATGAGCCTAAACCCTAAACCCTAAACCCTACCCTATAAGGGGTCCTTTGAAGGTTCCGCGAGGGTTCTGTAAGGATGATTATATGTAGCCTCGGTCTTTGGCCTCCAGGGTTTTGGGGCATGTGGCGTCTTTTATGGGTTGTGGTTGAGGTCTTAGGGAGTTGGAGCTTTTGAGGGGTCAGGGCATGGCCTCCAGGGTCTAGGTCTGGGTTTAGGGTCTATAGCGGATTTGGAGGAGTTGGGTGTTTTAGAAATTTCGGGGCTGAACTTTATTTTACGATGCATCACCTGAAATGCTTAGTTTGCTGACCTGAGTTGGAAGCTGAATGCGCGGTGTTCAGACCACTACTACACTCCAACTTCTGATCGCACTGCACCACGACTGCGAGGTTTGCCCACGGCCTCGTGTTTCACAAGACGGCTTTCCGCGCAAAGAGCCATGTCAAATTCCTTAATTACAATCAACTACCGCAGTCAATGTGTTGTTGAATCTCTGTGAAAGTTGTCCTACAGGCAACCACTTGACCCCGCAGCCTGTCATATAGAGGCCGTAGTAATCAGAATGTGGTTTTCAGGCCCATTGTACTAGATTTCTAGTAAGGAACCCCTAAAATAGTATCGGTAATTAATTACTTTAGCCCCCTACACTCTAGAACCCTACTATAGACTGTAGATCCCTGTTTGAACCCTTTAAGGAACCCTGTCAAAGGATTAACTATAGATTGTGATGGGAGGCCAAAAGAGGGGTTTAAGATTCTTGGGGTAGGGATTCCTTAATATGAACCCTATTATGGGAACCCCAATCCCTCCTAAACCCCCATAGGCTAAAACTCCTTTTGTGAGATTGGAACCCCTATATTCGCCGAAGTCCTGAAGATGAGAACCGCCTCGAAAGACCAAAGTTCCAAACGAACTAAAGCCAGAAGGGGTACCTTTAAAGGGATCCTTTAAGGGTTCCTTTAAGGGTTCCTACAAGGAATCTATAGAGTTTAGGGTTTCGGGGTTTTGGGAAGTTCACGAACATTAGGGGCAGCAACAGCAACAACAGCAACAACAATAACAATATATACGAGACATGTTAACGCAGCTGATGTGGAAGCTATAGCTTGGCGTAATCAATCGTCTTGCTGACGAGACAACCCATCTGCTGCTAGTCCAAGACGTAGACGACTGGAGGGACCTCTTTGCTGAAGCCTTTGCCGAAAAAACCTGAAGGCTTAACCCCCACATCAGCTTAGTCTCGAAACTACACAGGCAAAAAACCCTAAGCGCTGAAGCAGGAGTTCACTACTTGGTGGACCATGGGACGTAGTAAGTACGGTTACAAGTACCCTAACTGGGGTTACACGTAATTATACGTATAGATACCGTGGTTACACGTAATTATACGTATAGTTACCTTCTCTATAACCCCAGTTACTAAGTCCCATGATCCTCCAAGTAACCCTGGGCTCCACCTTCTTTGGACGCAACCAGCATGGAGCGGACCTGATCAGAGATGCTGGGTTTAGGCTTTGGGGGTTTAGGGTTTAGGGGTTTGGGGGCTTCGGGTTTAGGGTTTATCGCACAAGCGCCCCAAATGCCCCACCCTGACATCCGAAACCCCAAAGCTATCTGGAGGCCTACAGGTCGAAGGTACATGCCGGCCGGAGCATAAATGTGTGCTTGGCGAAGAAGGAAGATGGAAATAACAAGCTGTAAAGCCCGCAAGCCAGGCATCATCTGAAACTATCCATAGATCAAAGGGGAAAAGGGGGGACGCTTAATGGGGACCCCTACCCTATAATGGGCTATATGATGGGTATATAATAGCTATGTTAAGGGTATATACCGAGGGGTCCTTACTAAGGGTCCCTCCTTTTACCCTTGGAATAGAGGGGTCAAACTCGTCAAAAAATGCAGTGACTTGGACCCCGTCTCTTCACTCACCACCCGAGCTGCCGGGTAGGGCTCCAAAGCATCGTCGGGAGCTGTCGATGCAGCAGTGCGTATGTAAAGAAAAGGAAGCTCCTCGCCCGGCACCGGCTGCGCCTCCCACATGGTCTCGGGAATTTCTGCATGCGAAGGACTAAGGATCAACACGAAAAGGGTCATGATTTGGGGTTGGTTATTTTCTTGGACGAGCTCTGAATGTCCAGGTCAGGTACGCATCTTCTCCTCTGGCATCCTATGATATCCAGCGTGAATGAGTGAATGAAGGGTACATCGGTGAAACCCCGAGAAATTTGAGCGATCGAAATCATGTCGCAGTGCTCCGGGATGCTTCGACTTACAGTGTCGTGCTACCATGCTCAATGTTGCTGATGAAGCTTGAGGATGTGGATGTCCGGAGGTACGCGTCGGATTATGTGTCTTAGTATATACGTATATACATGCACGCACCCGTCTCTCTGTCTGTCTTTCTCTCTCTCTCTCTCTCTCCCTCTCCCTCTCTCTCTCTCTCTCTCTCTCTCTCTCTCTTTCTTTCGCCAGGGTTGTGGGGCAGAGGATGTTCTCCCCTTCCCCGCGCGCTAGTGCGCCCCCGACCGTTTTGGAGGGGGTGGAAAGAAAAGCATAGCTGGCGGGGTCCCCGGTTAAGAAGCTCTCTCTCTCTCTCTCCCTACCTCTCTCTCTCTCTCTCTCCCTCTCTCCCTCTATCCCTCTCTCTCTCTCTCTCTCTCTCTCTCTCTCTCTCTCTCTCTCTCTCTCTCTCTCTCTCTCTCTCTCTCTCTCTCTCTCTCTCTCTCTCTCTCTCTCTCTCTCTCTCTCTCTCTCTCTCTCTCTCTCTCTCTCTCTCTCTCTCTCTCTCTCTCTCTCTCGCTCTCTCACACTCTCTCTCTCTCTCTCTCTGTCTCTGTCTCTGTCTCTGTCTCTGTCTCTGTCTCTGTCCCTGTCCCTGTCCCTGTCCCTGTCCCTGTCCCTGTCCCTGTCCCTGTCCCTGTCCCTGTCCCTGTCCCTGTCCCTGTCCCTGTCCCTGTCTCTGTCTCTCTCTCTCTCTCTCTCTCTCTCTCTCTCTCTCTCTCTCTCTCTCTCTCTCTCTCTCTCTCTCTCTCTCTCTCTCTCTCTCCCTCTCTGTCTCTCTGTCTCTCTCTCTCTCTCTCTGTCTCTGTCTCTGTCTCTGTCTCTGTCTCTGTCTCTGTCTCTGTCTCTGTCTCTGTCTCTCTCTCTCTCTCTCTGCCTCTCTGCCTGTCTAGCTGTCTGTCTGGGTGTGCGTCTGTCTGTTTGTCTGTCACTGTGTCTCGCTGTCTCTCTTTCTGTCTGTCTGGCTGTCCGTCAGTGTGTGTGTGTGTGTCTCTGCGCCTGCTTCTGTAGGTATATCTGCAGGAATGTATATATGTATGCAAACATGTACTTATGCATATACATAGATGTTGCATGCTTACAAGATGTAGATGCATGTATCTGTAAAAACGACGCATGTATGGATGAATGCATGTATGTAAGAATGAACGCATGAATGTGTCGCTGTGTATATATATATATATACACATACATACACATATGTATGAATGAATGAATGTATGATTGCATGTATGTGTATATATATATATATATATATATATATATATTAATTCATTTGCGTATCTTTGCATGTAAGCACGCAGTTTGTATACTCTGTATGTGTGTATGCACATGTATGAAAACACACACACACATATATATATATATATATATCTATTCATTTATTTATTTATTTATGTATTTATAAACATACGTACGTACCTATACATATCTATGCATGCATACATATATGTACACCAACATGTACATCATACACATGCACGCATACACATGCATTTACATTTCCGTGCTATTGATATTGGAAATTTGCAATATCAGCATGAACATACTTAATGTTTTACCAGTACTATCATTGCGATTCTTACTATTAACATTGACCTCATATTATTACTACTCTAACATGTCATGAATGCATGCATGTAGGTACACAGGCATATTTATGTGTATATATATATACATGTAGATGCATACCTACATACATGCATGTACATATATATACACACATACATATAGTGTTTCTTCCGCTGCTTCCGCCAGATACTCGATGTTTCTTCAACGAATCAATTATATGCAAAAGTGTTTAATAACAAATCAGTGACAGCAGCAGCACCAGCGCCCCCAAAACCCGAAACCTTGGCGATGTCAACCCTAAACCCAAACCCTAAGCCCTAAATCCCAACACCCTAAACCCAAAGCCGCAGCAGACCAGTGCTGGTGCCACTGTTGTCCAGGCCTCGGAATACCAGTCGGATAGACCTTCGAAGAGGGCATTCCCTTCACCGAGACCTCAGCTCAGGTAATATACGGGCCTTGATAATTCGAACAAGGTTTTTTCGTTCCTTGTTTTCTCATAGTAGAAGATAAACTCAAACCCTATCGTTCACAATCAAGGAAGTAGATATACTTTCAGGCTTCCTTTCACTGGTTCTGTGTAAATTTAATTTATATAAGTGATTAGGATTCAATTTGCATCTATCAGAGAGGACCTCATAGTTCAAACAGGGCTTGGCGGTAGGCCATCGCAATAAACGGGCCCATGGGAGTGTATTGAATACCAAACAGTCAGTCAAGCCTCTGTACTGGCGCAGCTCAAGGTGCGAAGCCGGGGATCAAAGGCTTAGGTTTTGAGTCCGCCTTGAAATGCTCGGTGTTGTAAGGTCCCTAAACCCTAGTCCCTAGAAATAAGCCCTATAAGCCCGAAACCCTAGAAACCCTAGAAACCCTAAACCCTAAACCGTGAGCCTGAAAACTTGCCAACACTGGCGGCTTGGGGCTCCGACTTTAGCGTTTTAGGGTTTACAGTAGAAGCCATAAAGTTGGAACAGCATGATCCCCATACCTTTTAAGGTAAAGTAGAGGGAATCCCGGCACTAATCATCCTAAATCCATGTTCCAACTTTCTGGGGTTCACTATAGGGAGGCTTCTAGGGTTTCGAGGGTTTCGGGGAATGGGGGTTTAGGGCTTAGGTAGGGTTTAGGGGGGTTTCGGGGAATGGGCATTGATTTAAGGAGCATTGAAGGTTTCGAGTGTTTAAGGGGTTTGAACGAACAGGCAGCAACCACATGGGAGGGGTTTAGGGCCGTTTAGGGTTTAGGGGTTTCGGATGTTTAAAGCTCTCGGTTGTAGGGCTGAATGCCTAGCATGACGTGTTCCAAGACCCTCAAGGCTGGAGATTCGCTGTCGAACATATGGCTGCATTACTGAAAACAAAAACGCAGGCCTCCATGACGTGGTCTTATGTTGTTATAAGGGTCTACAACTTTGCAATTGAGGTTGAATGTGTGGTGCTGGGCATGTTTAAACTTCCCATGAACACAAACAGACCATCTCGATCAAAATAACGTTAATTGATGAACCACGTCTCCCACATATCCTAATCCCACCCTATAGGCACTGGAGCCCCAAAAATGCAACAGCTTCCAACTCCGCACCCCCAGCAATCAGATCCGAAAAACCTCGACGATTTTCCCGCACGCCCGATCGAAACCACGGAAGACGCAAGGACCCTACTTAGGGTTTAGGGGTTGCAGGGGTTTAGGGTTAAGGGATTGAACGAACAGGCAGCAACCAAGCGAGCAATGGACGCATTCCGGAGGTATCCAATTTAGTGAACACACTTTTGAAAGAATCGTAATGCTACCCTGCTTGTCTCCTCTGAACTGTGTTGCAACACAGAGGCTTGAGTTTGTGAACGGAGGTCTCTCGTCCAACCAGCTCATGCGAAAGCAGAAACCTGAGTCAGTGGGGCACCCGACATATCAGGATACCTACTGTTGATGATATAAGTCCTGCATTACCTTAGGGACCCTAAGCTATGGGAACTATGGTATAATCCTTATTATGGGTAATGCAGGATTTATATCATCAACCGTAGGATGCAAGTAGTCTCCATGTTCATGCTCGAATAACCTAACAACGAGATCCGGAATCGGATTGGGTCACTCGGGTCGGTACGGGAGCTGGCCATCCGTATATTCCTAGGACTGCTTAGTACAAGTAGCAGTCGTATTCGCAGTCCTAGTATAGGTATTCGTTTCGGTACCAGCGCTAGTATGGGCATCGGCATTGGTATTGGCAGTTGTGCTGGTCATAGAAACAGTATTCGTAATATCCGCATCCGTCTGAGCCTATCACCTGCTTCAAACGGCGGTCTTCAGGGCGTTGGGTGTGGATGAAGGCTTCGAGTTTAGCGTGTAGGCTTTAGAGGCATTGGGATCGGTGATAAGGGTTTAGGTCTTCAGAGGCTTGGGCTTTTGGATTTCGGGAGTGTCTACCCTAAACCCCTCAACCCTAAACCCCAAACCCCTAAACGTTAAACTCTATAGCCCAAACCCCAAAGCCTGCTTGCACTTGCACCGGGAAGCTGTTCTCGAACGGCAACGGCATACCCTTGCATCTTTGCAGCACACCTGCGGCCGACGGGCTGCTTGAAGGGTTCGATTGAAAGGGTACCAGAAGGGTTGAGAGCTTAAGGCTCCATGTATCTAGGTAGTACATACTTAAGGCCAGCGCACGCAACTGCTCAAGAGATTCACCCCACACCCTATTCCGAAAAAGGGGAGCGGCTCGTATGCTTGGCGTGGCTCGCGACTCCCGCCAGCTGTCTTCAACTGTACTCACCTAGCCAGATGACCGGAAGACTTTAGGGTTTAGGGTTTAGGGTCTGCGAACAAAACAAATCAACGAATCTACCGGACAAGCTTGTAAGCCCAGAACCCTCGTGCAACACCGCGAAGCTCGCATGACAGGCTGCGTAGCTACCGCCGTGCAAACTTGTCTAGGTCCGATCTCGGTGGACCGGGGTTTAGACCCGGAGGCTCCAAAACCCCTTAATATACCTCAAATTATATTTGGGATCCTATTATGAATTAAGTAAATTCCTTAATGAGGGGTGTGGGAGGTTTAGGGGTGTAGGGCTAGGGAGCAGGAACCAACACCCGAAACAGCACGGGTTCAGGGAGCCTGGTCGCCCCTTCTGCGGAAGCACAGCGACAAAAGCCACCTACACGCTGGCAATGGTGGTGGGCGCTATAGGTTCCTGGGATTACGAATGTTACAAAAATCACAACTTCTAGTACAGACACGAGGACATGCTAGAACACCTACTAGTGCTCGTGCTACCACCGATAGGGCACCTCAATGGAAGACCCTGTAGTCTGACCAGTCGTAGTTGCACATATACATACAAGAACAGTAGAAGCACTAGCAGCAGCTCGGAGTGGAGGTAATAGTAGTTGTTGTGGTGGAAGCAGTAGTAGCAGTAGCGGTAGCCGTCACTGTCTCTGTTGCAGCCCCAGCGGCAGTGGCAGTAGCATCGCTTATGGGTGGAACCGCGATCATCAGCAAGCAGCAGTATAACTACAACGATCACTCGTCAGGTGATCGAAACTAGGGTTGACATAGGAATCACGACGGTGCTGACGAACGTGAAAAACCACATAGCTATGCCAAAGCTGGTAATAACGCTCCGAAGCCTCGTTCACGTCCGTGCTATAGCACACACACGCACACACACACGTGCAGAAGCATTGTGCATTGTGAGTGCCAGTAAGAACACACGTTTGTCATTGACGTGCCCGGGTGTGAAACGTCTGTATTTTTCTGTCTGAGGTTTGCAGTCTAGAGCTTAGCATCCTGAAGACGACCTGCGCTTCATTCGTTCCTGGCTTTAGGCCTAACATATGATCCTCCATACTTGCAACAGGGCCCTCTCAAGCGGCTCCGGGAGGGGGGTTCCATAAGGGCTACTACAAGGGTTTAGTTTGGGGGCCACAACACCACAACACTTACAATTTAGAAAAGATTCTCAATCAATATCCTTACTAAAACTAAACAGGGACCCTAAGCCTAAGGCTCTAAGGACTCATATCTTAAGGCTTTTGGGCCTAAAGACCATATTATATAAGGCTTTTGGGCCATTTTGAGCCTTAGGGTAAGGAAATGCGATTACCAATTTATTCAACCTTTTTGGTAGCCGCGGGCGCCTGTATGCTGGAACAAGAGGCATTCCGCACGAGCATTCGCGACACCTGCTGCCGCAACCTTGCACAAATTATTATTATTATTATTATTACTATTATTATTATTATTGTTTTAAGTGAACGCTGTGAACCAATATATTTAGGCCCCTTTATTAGGATGTTTCGGAACATGATGGCGCGTTCCTCGACCTACAGACAGCTGGACCGTCGCACAGAGTGAGAGCATCTGCATCGTGGGCTCAGGGGCTTAGAGTTGAAGTTTAGCACTGCAGGCTTTTCAGTACAAGTGAGCTCCATGCCTTTACGATCCACGCCTGATCGGCACATCACCCGGCTGCAAGGAGATAATTGATTAAGGCACATTCCGACCACCGAGAAACATGTGACAGTATATGAGTGCTCAGATTGTTCGTATCGCAGTGTAGTGCTGTTAGCATCCAGTGAAGGCTTTCCTAATCTATGTTCAACCATGCTGATCAGCTTATCTTGAATCTTTCCGAACCTGCCCGTACAGAGGTGTCTTTGACTCTCGAGGTCTGGCCGCAATGTGAGTAATGCGAGCTATAAACCGGCAGAGCTCTCTGGCTGCTACTAGTATTCCGAACAGGAGCCATCACCACAATAAACAAACGAAGAACAAATCCTGTGTCACCTAATGGCGGTCCTTTTGGGACAGAGCCTACTTGCATCCGAAACCTGGCCTGTCTACAGTGAAGATGTCATCGTCGTCCCATATGCAGACGATGTCGGAAGCTGACCTCGTAGATCTCTACATGGAACTGTAGGTACTTCCGACGCCTATGCTGCCAACGCATTGCTGTCAGCCAAGACATCAAGAACCAGGCTCTCTTGCAGCTGAGACGGCCATGTTTCGCTTGTCTCCGATCGTGTGCCGCTCCTCCAGGTGAAAGTACCTGGCAGTTAATTAGAGAAATGGCATATTTCCTTGGCTGTTGATGATAGCATGCACGGAGTTGCCAGGCACCTGAAGCTTCGTACCCTGCAAGACAGAGGATATTGCTAACATGACTGTAGTCAGCTACTATTGCCATAATAATAAAATGCATACCAACAAATGCTCGGCGGAGTGGTATGCTGAGTGTACTGCCGTTGGCATCGCCACGGGGGTATGCATCAGACAAACCTTGTAAATGCGAGAGCAAGAAGAATGGCACACATGCATAATTGTTTAAACTAGTGGAATTAGAACTGGCGAAGACATATCACAGCTACACGCCCCTCAGCATGTTGAGAATGAAAGAGAATGGCGATGTTATTGCAATCCCGCAACAACTACGGGTCGATGTGCACATATGGTGTATAGTCAACCATGTATAATTACTTGCGCATTCAACTGTTGCCTGTATGGGTACATTGTGGGCTAAATGTATGTACTGCATCGATGCATCGACCCATAGAGAATAGCAGCGACAACCAGCCGAAAGCGCAACGGGCCTGACAGGCAGCTTGGACCGAACGAGAGGCTTGCTGGCTTTCGGGCTGTCATCCATGACGACAACCTGAAGAGGGATTGGGGTTCAGGGCCTGAGATTTCACACAGGGGCACAGGGGTCGCTAATATTCCAACCAGTATTCCATAGCGTTGCTCGACAGATTCAAAATCTATTGAAAATGATGTGGTTCACCCCCATCCCGCCAAAACATCCTCACTTTCATTTTCATCTTCACCAGGACCGGTATCACCATCATGGTCATGGCTAATGTGACCGCCATCATGACCCTCATCCTCATGCTTATCATCGTTTCATTGTTTTTTATCGTCCAGACCATAGCAATCATCAACGTTTTCTCGACATCCTGGCCAGAATCGTACGGCAGCATTACATTTGACCATCGGCCTCGACCGGGCCAGGGTAGTCCTGCATCTCGATCTGCCGGATGGCCTGCGACGAGAGCCAGTGCTGCACACGCAACATCTGCCACAAGCCCTCTTGCCTGCCATGGACAGAAGAGTGACAGCATCCAGCTAGCATAGGAGCCCGTAATTTCTGCCCGTAGAGTCTGAGGATGTTGAGCGGTATCCTAGCCGTTGATTGCATCAGCTCGTCTCGTGATTGGCTTCGGAAGACAGTCCCATGCAGTTGAGGGCTCCGGCCCTGCCAGCCATGCGAATCGCCGGCTCAAGCCCATCGCAATCCCTAACTCTGAGGCTCCAGTTACCTAAATTTAAACAGTAGGTTACTAACCGTATATTCTGTCGCCCAGTGACCTACTAAAACGGTACCTGGAGGCCGAGGGTAAATCAAACCACACACACACACACACACAAACACACCGTTTCTGTTCTGCAGGGTCAACGTGCTCAGGAATCCAAAATGCCGATCAGGGAGCCTCTTATAAAACCCTTATCTCTAGACACCAATTAACACCAAAAGCCTTTTGTAGAACCTCTCTCTAGTGGAACCTTTTATGATTCTCTGAATCTTTAAAGAAACCTGCAGTGGAACCCTTTATGAATCTCTGAACCTTTAAAAAAACCTGCAGTGGGACCTTTTATGAGTCTCTGAATCTTTAAAGAAACCTGCAGTGGAACCCTTTATGAATCTCTGAATCCTTGAAGAAAGCCTTCAAGGAATTGTAGTATCCTTAAGGGAGGGGGGTCCAAGGGGAGTATATAGCCTAGTGATCCCTAATTCTCCCTAGGACTCCCTAAGGTTCCCTTACAGTCCCCCAAGGATTCCTTATACCCTCCCCCCTTGAACCACCCTCCCTTAAGGATCCCATAAAGGAACCCTCGGCCTGCTGTAGCCAAGCTGGGCGGTTGTAGGTAACGATCTGCACGCTTACGGAGGGCCATCCTGGCAACAAAAAAACCCTAAACGGCCCTAAACCCTAAAGCCCTAAACCCCAAATAAACCCCTAAACGCCTAATGAGCATAAGAAAAAATAAAAACAGCCATCCGGCACATCGAATTCTCGAAGACTTGCCGGCTCTAGTGCTCTAGGATGTAGGGCTTGGGATTTTAGGAATCCAAGACTTAGGAATCTAAGATTTAGGGCTTAAACTTATAGGCTTTAGGTTTTAAGATGTCGGGCTTAAGAGCTAAGGGTTTAGGACTTATAGGGTTTAGGGGGAGGCTTCCAGGCTATGGGGCTCCAACGATCCAGGCTCCTAGAGGACCTATACCTACGGTTGATTATAAATCCTGCATGACCTTAAGCACCCTAAACTATGGGAATTATGGTATATTCCTTATTATGGGTAATGCAGGATTTATATCATCAACCGTAGGAGTAGTGTAGATTCTACTACACGGGTTTGGGGGTTCAGGGTTTAGGGTTTCGGGGTTTCGGGAACAGGTGTAGGGGTTTAGGGTCTAGGGTTTCGGGGTTTCGGGAACAGGTGTAGGGGTTGAGGAGTTGGTTTGGGGGTTTAGGATACCGGAACGGTTTGGCTCAAGTCGCCTCTGGGTCCAAGGGTGAACCCTAGCGCCATGCAAGTTTTAAGCCTCACTGAAGCGCCGTGCCTACACCCTGACATGCCTGTTCGTCACGAAACCATCTGCTTCGCAGAGCCCAAGCCGGAACACTGCCAACAACATGCATGCCTACAGTCTCCATTGTAGTTCCCTTTGCGGGGCTACCTGATAATAGGATCCTGAATATACTCAGCTGAGCCAAAAAACGCAACTCCGATGGAGACCCATAAATACACTCAGGGTTTACCGCCACGAAGCTCCCGGTAGCAATGTAGATATGCTTTGCAATGGGAGCTAGGTCTGGAACAGTCCTCTTACCCTGATTCCCAAATTCTCTTTCAGGAATCTCCTGCTCCATTCTCCGCTCGTGGCCACTGAATGAGAACCCGGGCTATTGACTCAGAGCAACCTTGATCTCCCAAACATCTAAAGCCCAAAACCCAGGCACCCTGCTGCCAGGCCCCAAACCCTCTACCTGACACCCTGACACCCCGCCACCCTAGATCCGTCCTCCCTGAAGACCTGAGCCAATCCTCAAACCTGCTACATGTAGTGTTTGGGGATTCGGGCTTCTTCAAACAGCAAAAGCCTCAACCCAGCCACGCCTGCAGATCCCCTCCAGGCCGAAGCGACCGAAAAGCTAAGTGCCTTCCAGCAGATGCAGATTAAACTTGGATTCGGGTTTCGGAGTTTGAAGTTGCTTTAGTAAACTCTAAATAAGCGGTTGACGTTTATTACGATTTTCGCTCAAACTAGGACTTGGGTTGTGGGTTCACGGTTTATGTTCTCGAGTCTAGAGATGTCTGGACGATAAAAAGAATCCGGAGTATGGCATCAATGAAGATGTCAGGATGGGAATACACTCGTTCTGGGGGAGTGGAAGGTCACCAAAATCGGATCGTGATGACCTCCATCAACATGATCAGAGTCTTCATCAGCATAAATGCAGAGTTAACGTCATTGTCAGCAGGTACAATAGCCGCCCCAGTACCTTTCACAACAGAACCAGCAGCACGCGTTAAAGCCGAGCTTTCAATGCACTCCAGAAACTGCGCAGGCCCTAATCCAGACTCTAATCACTCTAATCCTGTCGCGATACAGAAGCAGGGTCGCAGAAAAGTGCATCCAGTTTACAGTTTACATCCTTTTATTTGGGGACAAGGAAACCCAGAGCACAAAACGCAAAGACGATGCCGAAGATCGACCTATGGCATCTGACAAGAACTAGAGGACAGCGGAAACTGCAGGTAATTTGCTGGTCTATCTCACAAGGTGTGACGGCATCAGTTCTCACAGCTGACAGCCATGTCTTTTGAATTTGACGAGATACCTTCACACCAACCCTACCAACCCTGCAGTACATGATGCTTCAAAAAGCAATGCGAAGAGTTCATCACAGGCAGAGAAAGTGACAAAAACATGCGAAGACAACGCAGTGGCTGGACTTGAAGCCCTGCACTTATACCTACTTGGAGGATCATGGGACTTAGTAACTAGGGTCGTAAATAAGCTAACTATACTTGTAACTCCCATTAGGGTACTCATAACCTTACTTACTAAGTCTGATGATTCTCGAAGTAGTTTTCGCTGCAGTACTTACCGTAGTCCTGGGCGACCGGCAGGAACTGCTGCGCAGCAGGAAATCACAGCAAGGCAACCTCACTCCGAGCAGTAGAGTTTAGGGTTTAGGGTTTCGGGGTTTAGGGGCTTGGGGGTTGAGGGGTTTAGGGGCTTAGGGTTTGGGGGTTTGGGGGAATTGGGGTTTCGGCGTTTAGAGGCCTAGGGTTTCGGGGTTTAGTGGTTTAGGGTTTCGGGGTTTGCGGGCTCAGGGTTTCGGGGTTTAGGGTTTCGGGGTTTAGGGGCTTAGGGGGTTAGGGATCTAGAGGTTTAGGGTTGGGGGGTTGAGGGTTAAGGAGTAGAAGCCGAACTTCAGGACTGTGGCACAGAGAAGAAGGCACGCACGCTACATGGAATTCTACTTGTACTCGTGTACTCGTACCGGTAACTGTGGCACTGATAGAAGTAGAAGTAGTAGTCGTCGTCGAAGTAGTAGTAGTGGCAGTAACAGTAGCAGTAGCAGCAGCACCAGCACTAGCACTAGCACTAGAAGCAGTAGCAGGACACGTATGGTCGTCGTCATCATTGTCGTCGTGCTGGTGTTGGAGCTAGCGGCAGCATACACCCTTTACGTGTTCAAAATAACAATGACAGCTGCTTAACCAGGAACAACAAGAACACTGCCGAAACCCAAAAACCGAAACCTCAACTCCTAAACCCCAAACCCTAAGTGTATGCAACCTCTGTAATCTCGATACCTCTGGCTGAGGCTGCTGCTCGCGAGCCTGGCACAGACAAGAGAACAGGCCGAGCTGTTGAGGGTCTTCAGGGTTAAGAAATTCAGCTGGATTTCGGTTTCGGATTTAGGGTTTAGGGTTTGGCAACGGCGGTTTCGTACTAGGACTTGATGCGCTTAGCTGCTGAACAAAATCCTGGAACAAACCTGTAATGGTGTGTTTTTAGGACCGGTAGAAGGTTTCGGGTTTAGGGAGTAGAGCGCAGGGACTTCGGATTTTCGGGCAGGGTTTCGGGTTGTCTCAATTGTGGGTGTAAGCCTGGTCTGGATTTTGGAAAGTTGAACTCATCGGGTATACAGAATAGCATAGCTCCCGGAAGCCTACAGCCCTAAACCCATGTTTGCAAATGCCGTTTTATTCGGGCAAGGCAAGAAGATTTACTCTCTTGCTCTTAAACACGTGTCGCGGTACTACTTACATTGCAAATTCGGTGTAGGGCTTAGCGTATCTTGAGACACTGAAACCTAAATTTCTGCATATGACCGTACCTTGAGAGTGCCCTTGTAGTATCAATCTTCACGACAGCAACCCTGTACTAAACCCTAAACCCTAAACCCTAAGTTGACTCGAACTTGGGTGGGACCCTCAGTCTATAAAAACCAAAATCGAAGCGGTTCTTTCGCATAGCTCCGGTCGCAAAAAGCGGTTTAGGGTTTAGGGTTTAGGGGTTCCTGGATCCGAAGCGAAGAACCGCCAAAAGTCCAAAGCTTGAGAACAGAGCAAGACTCTACAACCCTAGGATCACCACTATTCGCAAGGATCTAGAGCCCTTGACCCCTCATTATATGGGGGTTTAGGGGTTTGGGGTTTAGGTTTAAGGTTTAGGGATTGTATGACCTCAAACGGTTTAGGGTTTCAGGTCTGGGCATGATTCGAGTGCTCGCCAACCCTCCTTGACAAAACGCCTTACGGCTTCAGTTCCTGTTCAGGGTCCGCAATCGGTGAGCCCTAAATGGGGCCCTGAACCCTGAACACCGAAATCTAACCCTCAATCCTAAACCCCAAAGCCCTAAAAGTAGCGTGAAGAATCTAGGGACTAGAGCTTCGTGTGGTTCTAGCCTGGGAGCTGCCTCTATCTTACACTACTGGGATTTGCGGCTTCTGGGGATTTTAGGGGTGACGGAGTGTTGGGGTCAAGGAGTTTAGGGAGACATAGGGGGTTCTAAGGACTTGGATTTATCGGGTCATGGATCTTTCAACTGTTGAGGTTTGGGGTTTAGGGGTTTATGGGGCTTGTAGGCTTGAGGGGTTTCCGGGGCGGCCCGCTCTTAAAGAGGACCCCTTTCAGGAGCCCATCTTCTTTCTACAATTCTATCACACACGACACCGAGGTCAGAACAACCTCAATCGCGCAACACAGGGGCCACCACAGGGCTGAATGATGTCGTATGTTTGAACGGTCGTCTAGTGACACATGGGGACATTATTACTACTATGACTGTTCGTACTGTTGCTGCTACTACCCATCTTCCAGACGAGCCCATTAGACCTGTACTGGACTGGTCAGCCTCATATGTCCTCAATGATCTGAGTTTAGGGATTGTCCGGCTTCTGGGCTTAAGCTTCAGAGCGCTTGGTAGAGATTAAGGGTTCAGGATTTACAAGGTTTAAGGTTTTTCTGGGATTGGGTTTTAAGGTTATGGCTTCGAATTTGCTTCTAAATCCCAAACCTGTAACCTTAAACCTTGAACTCTACATCCTAAACCAGAAAGAAAGAGTATACACTTTAATTTCATATTGGTTCCTTTAAGAAAATGTATTAAAGTATGGTACTCCAAAGCCCAATCAATTGACAAAAGATCATGTCGGCGGGCCTGCATAACCTCGCCGCTGTTTGGCCATGTCGGCGACGCAGTCCGCGAGAAGAGCGAAAACCCATGTGAGCGTGTTAGAGTTCAGGGTTGCGGTTCATCTATATGGGATTTAAAAGTTTAAGGATGATTTGAGGGTTTAGGGGTTGCAGGGACTTTCGGTTTAAGGTGTCGGGGTGTAGGTTTTTGAGTAGTTAGTAGTGTTGGGGGGGCCTCTCGGCAGCAGGGTCTGGGCAAGAGGCTTTCGGACAGCTGATTTGAAGGATTGTCCTCGGTCTTGCTTTTCGACACGACATATAGGAGTGGAGCATGAGTGTCCTCACTAAAAATGACATGACATAACAACAGATCGCCTATCTCTGGCAGCTACACATTCGTCGAGCTTGTGGGTTCAGCACATGTTACAGGGCTGCCATGCCGTCACCAGCAATCTAGCGGGCTCAAGCACTCGGGGCCAGCGGGATGTTTTCCCAAGACTGCCACACCACAAGGGAAACACGGGCAGGCAGCGCCAGGCAAGTCCCTTCGAGGCCTTGACACTCCATCCAGGCAGAGCGCTACTTGCGCAACTCCAAGCCTCCTGAGAGATAGAATCAACCGGAGCATTTCTGCGAAGCTTCAGATGTCAGGTAGATGGTGACTTGAAGACGTCCCAGGTCGGAAACGGTGCGTCCGATGTCTCAGGAGTATAAGGTGCGATGACTTCGTTGTAGCACTTCTCTTGCATGGTAGCACTGCTCCACTTCACGGGTACTCTTCGGACATGTCGAGCCCACCTCAATAAGGCTCCAAGGCTGCAAGAAGCCGAAGGGAGACCATGGATTCGAGGTGACTCCATGATGTTCATCACAGGCATGTAGGGCTGTCATAAGCTGCAAGAGGGCATCCATCGAAGCCTCAGAGCTCAAAGTGTGGCTTGGCCTCGCCTGGGCCCGTCGCAGCGGCCCGAATGACCTCAAGGGCCTCCTCCAAGTTTGCAAACGCGATGTCTTGGCTTCCGATCCCGCGGCTGTCTGGCACCAGGGGCAGCAAAGTCATCCGCAAGTTGAGCATCTTCGAGAGATATCGGTAATGCCCTGCAAAAGGCGTTCGGAAACCGAGCTCGAAGATCTCAACATCCTCTGGGCTCTTGTGAAGCAGTTTATGTAATTCAAGATTCCATGATAAGGAAACCATATTGTTGACTATAGGTACCTCTTATGGCATCTTAACTTAAATCTCTTAGTCCTCTGGGCAGAAGAGGATGTTCGACAATGCACCCCCGTGGGCTCCAACGACTATTCGGGCCCGGGCAAAGAGCTGGGCGGTGCGCTTTGGCTTGGCACTTCCATCGAATACCTGGCCGAACAGAGCGCCACCTTGGGCTAATATGGAGGGCCTTTGATAGTTGGAATACGGCTTTGGGGCACATTATACTCTCACTGCAATAAAGAACCACCAAAATAGCATGGGTCATTATGCCCCTGTATTGCACCCTGCACTGCCGTGAGCAGTGCTTTGGTCATTCTGTAAAGGGCCTTAACTGTAGGAATAGGGTCTCAAAGTAATGTAGTCGACCAATAGCAAGGAATCCAAGGAAGAGTATGCCTAGTCAATCAGGTTTCGATATTCCTCCCATTCAGTAACAACCGTGAGCAGTAGGTAAAGGATCAAGCTACCTAAATACACTTCAAGGACTGATGCCTCTCACCTACTTACCTTAGACCCTACACCCTACTTGCAAACTGCATGGATCCCTGAAGTGCGGGAACCCAGCTCGCGACCCGGCAGGGGCACCTGGAATTGCAGCGTCGGTGTCGCGAGCTGTTTCAGCTGCCCAGTAAACCAGGACTCCTTTGGCTTGGGCTATCTGCCGCGATTGCAAGGCATTCTGGCGTGAACTATATTATATTGAATTTTTTGTGAAAGAAGACGCATTAGTTATAATCAAAATCAAATCTAAGCAAATCAAGACTATTATAACTATGATAAAGAACTTACTACTTATTCGGATTGTGCTTTGACATGTTCAGGCAAAAGTCGTCTTGTAGGCTGCTTCGCATGTCGCCCTTCTTCCGCTTGATGAAGATCAGCCTTCGTCTCAGGTGGCTTCGGTGTTGCATAGGGCTTAGGCTTAGGGCACATGTAGGGATTATGGTGTAGTATATGGTAAAGTTTAGGGTTCGAGGTTTGCAGCCACTGTAAGGTGGAGTGTAGGGTCCAAACCGCCCCTAAACCCTAAACCCTAACCCCTAAACCCTAGACCCTAAACCCTAAACCCCAACCCCAAACCCTCCTTGCGGGCTAGAAGAACTCTGATTCGAAGCTGTGTCAGCCAAGAGGCGCAGGAGGCGCCGGCTTTGCCTTACCGCTGCTTAGTAGGGAATGGAAGAATGGTAGTAATAGTATTTATAATTATACCCCAGTCCTCCATTCCCTAGTCTCCAAAGGTAAAAGATCCCTCGAAGGAACCCTAGACCCCTATAGATCCCTTTAAAGGAACCCTATAGATCCCTTTAAAGGAGCCCTATTCCCTACTAACCAAAGGTAAGTTGCTGCAGCAGCGAGCGGCTGCAGAGCACTGTGGAGGCCCCGGAGCAGGGGCCCCGGGGTAGGGCAGTGACCACCATCCTTACTACCCATAGGCCCCAAAGTAGTTCCTTTTGGGGATTACATAATAGGATTCTTTATACGAACCCCCAAAAGGAACTACTTTGGGGCCTTAGGGTAGTCTAGTCTGGTCTAGTCTTGAAGACAAGAGTAGAATATAGAGTATATATATATATATATATGTATATATATATAGGCTATAATATAGTAGTATAGTAAGTATCGCATAGCCTGGGAAACATTCCCTAATACCCTTATTGTACATACTTTGGCCTTCAAGTCCCTATCTATCTATCTATCTATATATATATATACACACACATGTGTATGTACCTGAATCTAGACCTATACCTGTATCTATATCCTTCTCTTTAAAAAACCAAAGAATTCAGGTAGGCTCCTTCACGCTGGGTGCAGCCGCACTGCGTCCCCGAACTTCACCGCGGGCTTCCAGTTCGCGAAGACAAGCGTTTCCGCCCGCAGTCGAACGTCATTGGGCCCCGACGTCCAATGAATCATCCTCCCCACAGGGTCCAAGTAACAACATATATAGTTGGCTCTTAATAAATATTCGGGTCCCAAACTTAATTGCTAAACCTTATTGCCTAAACTCCTAAACCCTAACCCCTAAACCCCTCAACCCTACACCCTGAATCGCTCCACAGTTATGAAATAAGACATGATAGTCAATATCACAAGATGCGCCACCACATATGTAATCTAACACAACATGACACAAGAAACTATAACAGAAAGTACTGATACAATATACTATACTGAACCATACTATAGAAACCACTTTATATGGCAAGGTCAGTTAAGATTAAGGAGCATGAGATAACAAAGTTCAATATGACATAATAAAGCATGATAGAAAACAGAGTATACTATACTAAAAGCATGTTATGTGCTAAGACCAGATACCACAAGGCAGGATCAGACAATATAGCAACATTCAACACAATATAACAAAGTATACACGAAAAGAATGTAACAGAGTGCATGGACCCTTACACCCTAAACTCTCATGGTACCTTATTGAAACTATAGTACTCTTATAGAGTGGTGGTCAGAGTATAAACTATATGGGTGTTTCCGAAAATTAGGGGTACCTTATTTGGGGTCCTTATAATAAGGATCCTAATATTTGGGATACTATATTAGAGTCCCCTATTTTCGGAAACTCCCATATGGGTGCATGCATGGCCTTGGATACCTTAAACCAGAACTGACCCTACACGTAAATCCAAAATAACCCTTTAGCCTAAAGCCTACATAAAGACTGCAGCCTAGATACTACCTTAAACCCCCAAATGCTAATATACTGCTACAGGACCCCTCTTTGCGAGCTCCAGACTATAAGGGCTCTGTAAGAGTTCCCTGCTTACCCTGAAGCCCTAAACCCCTAAAATCTAAACCCTATAACCCCTACAACCTAAACCCTCTCACACCCTAAAACCTAAACCCCGAACCCTACTACTTCAGGACCGGCAGCCTCTTGCTGGGCAGGTCGAGCCCCTGAGTCAGCAGCTTCAGCCCTGCAGCCAGGAAGCCAAACCTGGGAAAATGCTCGGGAAGTCTCGGGACTTTCGGGTACCATGAAGAATTTAGGGTTTAGGGGATAGGGTTGAGGCTTTCAGGTTTTCAGGAATCCAAGTTAAGCTATCGTAGTAGAAAACCATATGACATATGACCTACTGTGGAACCTATTTCGGCAACTAAGATTGACGTCCTTAACAAGCACCCAGAGACGGCTTCGGCAGCACCAGGTGCATTTCCGGATCAGCCAGCACGCCATGCGACACCAGCAACCAGAGTCGCCCAAGTACCTGCTCATATATGAGCAAGTATAATCATACAGCATGATATGATACGAAATAGCGCAAATGTACACAAACTATAAGTATATGCATATGTTGCTCCGGCTCAAGTTTTGAAGATGGAGATCTGCGGGAAGGGCCAGGCGCAAGTGTAATGCAGTGCTGCATCCCTGCATGATCTTGCTCGTGTGTTATCACCTGTGTCTACTTTATTGGTACCCCATGAAACCTACACCGAAAACTCTGTCCCAACCTCCGTCCCTAAACCCACACCCCCTCAAACCCCACCCTAAGTCCCAAAACCGAAACCCGAAAGTCCTAGCCTCCGTCAGCACGTGGAAATGCGACGTGGCGGCAAAGTGCACCACACTGGCCACCTTGGATACCTGCACTCGAGGTCGTAGGCTGTGCAGGGCTGCTATGGGGGCCTTAATAATTGGAACATCGTTCCCTTTAAAGGGCTCCGTAAAGGGGTCTACAAGGGATCCATAGTAGGGTTCTATAGTATAGGGGCCTTAACAGTTAGAATAGGGTTTTGGGGCCTGTTATACTGGGAATTGTAACAAGGAACCCCAAAAATAGTATAGGTACTTAGTAAGGCCCCTGTATGAATTTGCAGCAGCACTGCGACCCTGCCTATCACACCACATACAACAACATCAAGCACGCAGGAACGAAAGTTGGAGTAAAGGCCTTTATGACTGGAAGACCCCGTTGGAAACCAAAACCCGCGGACTTGTTTTAATCGGTCGTGATCATGGTGAGCCGCTCAATGACAGTGAAGGGAAGCTCAACGATTTACTTCTGACCTAATACGGTGGCCTTAATATTTCGAACGGCATGCTGGGGGTCTGATAAAGTACAAGTACATTAAATACAGAGCCCTCAGAATATTACCACTTAGTACTACGATTATCAATTATTACTATTGTTACTACCGCCCGTGTTTTGGACATCGCAATCCTCCACGCAAAAACACAAAGACGGCAGATCTACACAGAAGCTCCCTCAATGTTCGTAACCCTACAGCACCTACCTGTTTGTTTTGCGGCTGTTTAATATGATTTGTGTATATGTCCATCAGAGGCGTTATACAAATGTTGGTTGCTTGAGGTTAAGATACATCCTACATGCGAAACTAGACGCACTTAATTCTAAGCTGCCGAGCCTTCAACCCTACATGCTTCAGTTCCCTTTGCACCCCGAAACCCCAACCCCCTCCCAGAAGCAGGGTCTAAAGTTTAGGGAGCTCTCACAGGACATGCTGATCTGTTTGGACGCCAAGGCCCTTCCGAACTTCGCGGACCTCTTTACACACAAATTAAACCCCAAAGCCCCAAAAACTCTTCAAGCCTTGCACCCTAAACCCTACTAAAACGCTAGAGCCCCAGACCCTCTTGAAGCCCTTGCAACCCTAAAGTGCGCGCCTTCACCGGCTTCTCCCAAGATCCGTGCTCCGGCGCCCGACCTGCGAGATGCTTCTTACAAGCATTCGGGCTTAGGATGCCACGACTAACTATCTTGAGTGTACCGTCACAGAACCCTTTTGCTTGGGTCTCGGGCTTCAGAGGCTTGAGTGTTTTAGGTGCTACAGCGGAGCGGAGGGATTTCGTATGGGGCACAGTTTGGAGGCCCTCATCGGGTCGAGGCACCTCTTGGTGCCAGCGGTTGCTAAGGCATGGCCTTCAGGGCTCGGGGCTTAGGGTTTTTTCCGGGGTTTGGGGGATTAAGGGGCTTGGGGGTTCGGAACTTAGGGTTTAGGATTTGGTGCTTTAGGGTTTAAGGGCTTGGGGTTTCATGGACTGTAGTGCTTCGCGAATTTACCCCAAACCCGCTACTTACAGCACCACGAGGCTTCCGTGAAGAGTACTTGCGATGGGGGGGGAGTTCTGGTAGGGTGTCGGGAGCTTAAGGCCCTGAGCTACAAAAGAAGCTAGTTTTGATGCGGTAACATTAGGCCAGCAAAAGTTTATGACCCCTTATCATTGAGGGTGGCCAACCAACTCTCAGCCGTTCAATGTCAGAGCTCTCAATCTATACAAGCCAAAAAAAGGGTCGGTTTCCTCAGGCTATTGCTCCAGAACAACAGAAGTCACCAACAAAACTGCAATACCTAGACCCCTGAAGCCCTTTGGGAAATATTCAGAACTCATACTAGAAGGCTCCTCAACCCAACCGGGGCTGGAAGGAAACCCTGAATCTAGCCTTGCGAGTAGTCGTACCACTTCCACCGCGGTCCCGAAGAATAGGGAGTGGCTGGATCTCCCCAGACCTTCGAAACGGCAGGGTTGACGATTCAGGATGTAGGGAAAGTACCCTGAACAATAGGATCCTGATTTGAAGGCTCCCACAATAAGGTACCCCTGACTTTCGGAAACTCCCATGTAGGCTTCGATGTTAGAGCCGCTTATACAGAACCCTCATAAGACCCTGAATTAAGGAGCCCCTTAAGGAACCCTTTAAGGAACCCTATAGATCCCTTTGAACGGAAGTCGGCAGGATCCTGCCTCCAACAACTGCAAGTTCGCCGCGAGATTCACAGCCAGGCCCGCCGAGGCCAGAAAGATGCGGCAGTTCCTGAGTTGGCCTTTAAACACCCTGAAGAATAGTTATATGTAGGGTCCCTTATAAACCCAAATAAGCAAAATAAAAATGTCCCCAAATCTAACCTAGGTATCAAGGCTTGTGGGTTTGGGGAGGGGCTGAATCCCATGAGCCCTACACCCTACCCTGAAACGTACAACCTAAACCCGACTGCCTAAACCCTAAACACCCTCATACGAACCTACATCCTCAATCCTCCAAACCCTAAACTCTAGACTCCGAAACCTACCAAACTTACAAACTTAAAGCCTAAATTTTTAAACTCTAGACTCCAATATATATATATGGACACACCCCCCCCCATGACCTACCTCGGCCTCTTTTCCATTGTAAATACCGTCAAAACCTTTTCTTGCGTGGGATTCGCGTTTGGCATACGATTCGTGTTTTGCATAATTTTTGGGGATGATACCTTCTCTATCATGGCTGATGTGAGGTCATGTCTCTTTACAACGTCGTGCCTACTCATGTCCGCTTTCATATTCATATGCCTGTATTCAAGCAAGAAACATTAAAAGAGACCATACGATACGACGGCGGAAACCAAAAAAACAAAAATCCAAAAATCCAAAGCCTTCCTGAGGGGCCCGAAACTTTTGGATTTTTTGGTTTTCCTAGGTCTTTTTTGGTTTTTTGGGTTTTGCCTTGGCGAAACCATTGCTTTTTTTGGATTTTCGGTGGAAAACCAAAAAAACTCAAGGGTTTTTTGGTTTTTCTGCTGTGTCTCCGGTGAAAAACCAAAAAACACCTGCGTTTTTTTGGATTTCTGCTGGAAAACCAAAAAAACCTTGGATTTTTTTGGTTTTTTGTTGGAAAACCAAAAAAACCCTAGGAAAACCAAAAAATCCAAAAGTTTCGACCCAGTGACAAAGGTTTTGGATTTTTGTTTTTTTGGATTTTTGGTTTTGTGGTGTTTCGGCGGAAACCAAAAAACCAAAAATCCAAAAATCCAAAGCCTTCCTGAGGGGCCCGAAACTTTTGGATTTTTTGGTTTTCCTAGGTCTTTTTTGGTTTTTTGGGTTTTGCCTTGGCGAAACCATTGCTTTTTTTGGATTTTCGGTGGAAAACCAAAAAAACTCAAGGGTTTTTTGGTTTTTTCTGCTGTGTCTCCGGTGAAAAACCAAAAAACACCTGCGTTTTTTTGGATTTCTGCTGGAAAACCAAAAAAACCTTGGTTTTTGTTTTGGTTTTTTGTTGGAAAACCAAAAAAACCCTAGGAAAACCAAAAAATCCAAAAGTTTCGGGCCCCTCACAAAGGTTTTGGATTTTTGGTTTTTTGGATTTTTGGTTCTCGGAGCCTTAGAGCCAACACAGCGCGCAGCATGCTTGATCGGAGATGGTTTCGTTGTTTACGCGCAGTAGTCTTCATATTTGCATTAGGCATTAATTAGTGTTAGTATTAGTATCTGCTTTCTAGCGTGTTGATTAATGTTATTGTTAGTGTTGGTGTCAGTGTCAATGTCAATGCCAATGTCAGCGTTAGTACTAGTCTGAATATAAGTCTATACAATAGGTGTACTAATGGTAGTGTTAATGTCTAGCGTGAGTTTTAGTATTCGTATAAGTCTTGGTCTTAGCCTCTGCGTTATTCTTAGCGTTAATATTAACCCGTGTATAGTCTCATATCAGTATATTCTGTATTTGTAAGTCTATGGTAACATTGGAATAGTAGTATACGAGTATATTATTTATTGGTATGTGAAAATACAGATTCTTTGGTACATTGATGTGTCTGTTTTTTTTGCATTTGGTTTGAACGTGATTATTAGTATTCGTAGGAGCATCAATATTGGTATCAATAGCATTATCGCTGTTCATACTATGCATAACCGTATTAGCTGGAGTATCAAATGGTAATACTGCTATTCATGTTAGTATAGGTTTCTCAATATGAATATAAATTCTGAGAATAATTAATAGTACTATGCGCATTAATGTCCGGAGGAACTGTATCACTTATGTGCATATTAGTATTAATGTTAGCATTTGCGTGTATATTGGTATCAAATAAATACTAAAATTACTATCAATATGGGTATTTTTTTGATATTCGTAGGAACACTAGTATTCATATTAGTATCGGTATTACTGAGAGTATCAGTATTCGTAAAAATATTTGTAATCATAGTAATTCATATCAGTACGAGTATTAAGATGAGTTCTGATGCGCATATGAATGATTTCGAAGGAAAGCTGACCTTAGTTTAAAAGAAATGGTAATGAATACTATTACGAAAACATAGTAATTCTGGTATTGATACGAATACCCATATTAATGTCCTATTATGTATAATCGCAGTAGCCTGAGTATTGGTATGCATTTTGGGACAAATATTAGTATTCCAAACAACTAGTACTATTAATATTCATATTGAGAACAGTTAATATGCGTATTAGTATCCCCAGGAGTGTCAATATTCCCATCAGCACTACTATTCGCATTAGTAGTGTTATTTTTAATACTAGTATTAACCATTAAGCCTATTATGTTGTGAACAGTAATATCCTTATTCGTAGGAGTAGAAATCTTAGTATCAGTATTAGTATTCGCACTAGTAATAGCTATTATACACATTGGTGCATGAGTAATCTAAGAGCTTCACACAGAATAAACATGTGTGCACATGTAACCCTCATTACGATCCTAGGTAGGATGCCCACATCGTTCTGTCTTGGTCCCGTCTTTGGGTTATGCTATGAGTACATGAACAAAATTATAAACAGACAATGACAAACACAAAGTTATCCGGCGCATCTAACGATCTTACGTAGGATGCAGACACTGTTCTGTCTTGGTCCTGTCTTCGGGATATGCCTATGGTCATTGTATGACCAGAATTATGAATATCTGGATCATTCAGGCAGTATCCTATTAAACAATTGCAGGCATTGAAGCCTGCCCAAATCCGCCAACGGCGATGTCGCGCCGTCGTAGGTCATTACAGTGTATTCAGCTATTAATTATACACGATATATGTTTCTATTGTTTCTGTATGAGCGTATTTTATCCTAATGGTTTCCTCAAATCCTTACATGTTCTACCACCCATTGCTAGCCGAAGCACCTCGCGGTAGGTCTTCGGGGGGGGTGTGAGCATATATATATATATATATATATAGAAGTTACAAACTTAAGCACTCAAGCCCCAAAACCCGAAACTCTAGACTCCCCACAACCTATAAAACCCTTACAAACTTAAACCCTCGAGCCCCAAACCTAGCGGCTGCTCGTCAACGATGATGCCGTCATCGCCTGACAGCGCCACCTCGTCTCGGGGTTCCCAGTTCAAGGCTCCTCTAAAGCTCTCCTATGAGGGCTTACTTGGAAGGGCAGGGGACTTAGTAAGTAGTTTATAAGTAGGGTTATAATTGGGGTAACTCCATTTAGGGTACTTATAACTCTACTCATAACCTACTTACTAAGTCCCCTGACCTTCCAATCAAGGATCCCAGAAGGGCCCTGATGAGGTTTCCTGAAGAGGGGCTCCCCACACGACAGTTGAGGTTTGTGGCTAGGGCTTCGGGCTGCAGTACCGACTCCCATACGAATACCCTATTTCGCTACATGGATGCTTCGGGACATCGTAGGACGCTCCCCTCCCGCCCCACACACACACACACACACAAGCAAGAAGGCGACTGAAAGCTGCAATAAATAAAGACATGGATTACAGGGTGTGGGGCTCAAGACTCAGGAAGTCCGGTCAGTGATGATTTTCGTTTGCAGCATGTCATTCTCTGCTTCGTTACGTAGAATGGTTCATCGCGGAGTGGGCAGCAGGGGCGATACTAGACTGCTAGACCAGACTCTTCCGCAAGCTCGGCTGTGGTACGAAAGCTCGTAACCCCCTAAACCCCGTACCCAAAACCCTACAGGTATCAGGATTTCGCATCAGGCCAGGGAGGGAGGAACATCGACCGACATCGTAAAGTTTCTGAGTTCGGAAGCCGGATGGCGAACTGATACCTGATAATGGGGGGCCTTCATAACTTAGACTAGGGTTTTGGAGCCAATTATGCTTACTATAATTATAGTAAGGAACCCCAAAAGAGTATAGGTAATTGTTGAGGCCCCTACAGTACCTTCCCAGCTGTCGCGGTGTCCGGTGCTCGAATCCCCGGATCGGCCAGAAACTCCAAGACCCCTCACGGAAGATGCCCTTTAAGGGTTCCTTAAAGGGCTCCTTAAATGGATCTATCAGGGAGTTAGAGGAATATACCTTGACTTATACTAGGAACTCTTATACGATTTAAGGTACACTCCTTAACTAAGGGATTTTGGAAGGTCCGAGGCACTTGGGGCATTGCATCGACTGGGAAAGAGCACCCCAACGCATTGCAAGCAAGACCTAATCTGAACACATATTTGAGCGAGCTGCGTCGATTCTCTAACACAGAGCCCCAAATTTTACTATAACTGTATCCACGTGTCATCCATATTCGTCTCAGTAGTGTATCTCATACAATAGCTATAACAAGCGGAAACCTAGGTATGAACAGTCTTCTATACCACTTACTCAAGCTTCTTCGATTTGTCTCAGCCGATGTGCATCCTTGAAGGTGGCCACATAGCCCTCAGAGTCAGCCGGCGCTTTCTTCCCGAGGTAGTCCACAGAGACTCCAAATCCTGTTTCGGATTCCGCGATTGTTGTTCAAGGTTTAGGGTTCATACGGTTGATTCAGGGTTTGGGGTCCGGGTTTAGTGTTGATTCAGGGGTTAGGGTTTAGTGGGCCAGAATGCTGTGATCTGGGATCTTTTTGTCATGGCGACGAAGGAGACTTAGAGCTTGCGGTCTAGGGTAGTGTAGGGACGGGATAACGCTTGCTGAGTTGTCCATGTTCCGAATACCTATGCGCACAGAATGCTAGTGTCGGTGGTCGGTTATTCTCGATACTAGCTACACGATGGCTCAGAATAATGCTCGTGTTAGGTGGGTACGGAGATTAACTACACGATGCCTCTCTGACATCTGCAGAACTTCGAGAAACTACTACAGAGGCATTGATGATTGGAATGGGGTTGTAGGGTATGTTATACTATAAACATAACAAGGACAAGGAGCCCCCAAAATTATTATAGGTAGTTATGAAGGCCCCTATATTATGCTGAGCGCCTGCATCTGCAGGAATCTGGGTCCAATCATAGACCAGTGACCCATGGTCACAATTCTTGGAGCCTGGGGAGGAGCCGGGTCTCTTTCTGAAGCTCTCATGTGAACTTGACAGAATACGAGGGATGCAAGCAGTGGGCAAGCAACTTTGAAAGGATGAGCGCTCGAACCCTACTAAAGGGCCTAAATAATTACACATGATTTTGGGGATTCCTTACTATGATTATAGCATAAGAGGCCCCCAAAACCCTGTTAGAATTATTCCCCCTAAGGTAAAGCCAGACACGCTCTCCTGACAGACCAGCAGCTCTGGACTCAGACTTCACCCACTCAACACTGAACCCCAAGCCCTGAACCTATGGACGCCCGACTGCCATGCATTCCACCCACACAGTAACTGTCTAGGACCACTAGGCCTCTACTAAGGGTAACTTGGGCGGATTCCTGACAAAGCACTAAATCATTTGAGATAAGGGCCCGCAATCAGAATCAGGGGTTTACTATAGCAGGAATGACGAGAGTGAGTATTTAACCCGACCCCAAAACCCGAAACCCTTACCCCTAAACCCTAAACTTTGAACCCCCAAAATGCTCGCAACCGAGCCCGGGCTCAGAACTGTTTCGTCCACATCATGCCTTACTGCGCCAAGTGAGCTAGTGCTCATATGTTAGGCTTTTGGGCTGTTTTGATGCCCAGGGTATGACTCTTATAGTCACACTTGTAGGGCTTTGAACCCCTTATAGAAGTCGTACTGAAGTCTTATTAGTAACCCTAAACCGACTTGCCTCAGGGGTTTCCACTTGCCAACTTCCAATGCCCAGATCCTTGGATCCTAAACCCTGAAACCTATATGGGTGGTTGTCAAAACTATGGTCCCTTTTTGGGTACCCTAAATATTAGGTGCCGTATGATAATAAGGACCCAAAAAGGGACCATAATTTTGACAACCACCCATAAAATGCTCCACCCCAAGCCGCAAAAGCGCACACACACACCCTCAAGTACAAGGGGCGCTTCCGCTCGAGGAGTCCGGCTTTCCAGGCCTCAAAAGCCTCAGAGCAAGTCAGGGCGTTTGGAAACTGAAGTCTGGGGGTTATTGCCCAAGAGTTGTATATGGTTTCCTAAAAACAAAAATCAAGAACAAGGGAAGTCCGAATAACAGCAATAAGGCGGTGCGAAGATCAGAATGCTTGGCCGCTGCACTTAATGGATAGAATAACAAGGTCTTGGGGGCTCCCTGAGCCAAAAGCAGGAACCCTAAGGACCAATATTGATTTGCATTCAAGCCCCTGGTATTGTCGGCTTTGCGAGCTCGGAATGTAGGGTCTGGAGTCCAGGCATACATAGGTTGAGATGTGTGGCTTGCAGCCTCTTGACATGAACTGCCTGGGCATTCAAAGGATTGAAGGGGTATAGGGATGGATATCTATGGGAGTTTACGAAAATTAGGGGTACCTTATTTGGGGTCCTTATAACAAGGATCCTGCTATTTGGGTACTATATTAGGGTCCCCTATTTTCGGAAACCCCCCTATCAGTGCAGCACATGATTTACAGAACTTGAGGCGGCGACTGCAGGTTTTGGATTGAGCAAGGTTCGGCAGTTTGCTCTCTTGACTAGGGATGTCAACCCCCACCGTACTTGATACAGTCTCCATCAAACCTACTGTTTTGGGATTTAAGTGTAGCAATGTGGGTGGTGATGGCAATGATGGTGCGAGCGCTGGCTGGTGGAACCGCAGTTGCATGTTCTCCCAACATGTTCTGCAAATAACAACTTACTCAGGTGATGTCCGCCTTGGTGACCGCCCTGTGGTTGAAGGCCAAGAGGCAGTCTCTTGGGCTTGCCTGAAGCTCTCTACAGCCTGTGCAGTGATGTTCGAGTCCTGCCAGCGATGAGGCTGTGCAACACAAGGCAACATATGCATGCACATGCAGGTAGTTATATGCATATGCATACAACATGTGCATATACATACCGATACATACATATATACAGATATGTGTACAAAAAGTAAACTACACAACAAAAGTTTACACATATACAAATACTTACATACATGTATATATATATACATATGTTACATACATGTATACATAGATACACGTATGTGCGTATACACATATACATTTTAAACATCTCGGAATATGCACGTATGTATATACATACATGTATGTACGCATGTATGTTTGTATATGTACATATGTATGTATGTATGTATGTATGTATGTATCGGAGTTGAAGTGGGTATGTACAAAGGCATGCCTGCATCTATTGATCTATGCATGCATGTATGCATGTATGTATGCATGTATGTATGCATGTACGTAGGTATGTATCTATGTATGTAGGTAGGCATGTATGTATGTGTGTATGTATTTGATATGCTGTTTGTTATGTACAGTTGTGTGCATCGTGCACATATATACATATATATATATATACATATAGCTACAGTCTGTGTATCTGTATATATATATACATATATATATATATATATCATGTGCGTACCAGGACTGGAGAGAATAACTGCCAACATCACCATGACCGCCAGCCTAAAGAAACACATGTTCACCAAAGCATCGGTGCCATCATCACATCTCGGTTGCATCGGGTTTTAGGATTTAGGGCTAAGGGCATCGACAGAACAACAGCTGAACTCAGCTCGAAGTGGTTTGCCTTGCCCTTCTTGATACTGAAAACTGTACTGCTCTGCTCAACCCACTTCTGGTGGGCTCAACATTTCTGCTACTGTAGGGGCCTTTAATCCTACAGTTACAATAAGGAACCTCCAAAATAGTATAGGTACTTAGTATGACCCTTATAGTACTAGTACTGTCACTGGTTTCAATTCCTGTCACCAGGTCGCCTGCTTGAGTTCGGAGACCATGACGCGGGTCGTTGCCAAGTCGTGGTGCATGTTGGGAAAGCCAGGATAAATCTCCTGGTGGGTCATATACTAGGATACCCAGTAACCTAAGAATAAAAAGGCCTCTCTTTTTGGTATTGGGTAACTTTATAAGGAACCTAGGACTACAAAAAGGGAATAAGGGTACTACTGGGCATCCTAGTATAGGGATCTGATAAACGCTCCGACAAAAAGAGTTCCTTTTGAGGGATTCCGTTGAAGGGGTCTTCAAGGGATACTGGGTATGCGGCTTGCAAGGTTTAGGTACGAGGCGTTAACAGTCAGAATATGATTTGGCGTATGTTAGGTTGAAACTTTGAAAGGGGGCCGTAGAGAACTGTAAATAAGGAACTACTTAAGCTTGCATAGTAGCACAGATGATGGCGCAGTGTCTGAGACTTTCAATGGAATTCATCAACCCGGCCGTGCATCGAACATTACTCTCTTTTCATGTGCCGCACTCCGTCCCAAGGAGGGCAAGCACAAAAACCCTCAGGCGTTCAGGAGCAGTGTTCAAAAATCCGTTCATGTAGGGGGTGTTCTTCGACGGTACAGAATCCACAGGCATACTGCTAGCTTGGCTACGGTCTGAGGCATCGGCTCTTAACTCACAGTTTTTTGCAGGGCTTCGAGGTTTCGCCAGCAAACAGCCGACGAAACGACTCCCAAACCTTGCCACGAGCCTTGCATCCAAATCCTAGTAATTATGCACGTCTGTCTTATCCCTTGTCCGGGTTCATATGACGGAGAAAGCATTACAGTCACGAAGACAAGCCGAAAGGCGCTGATGATCACGGATGGTTGGCATCCAGAAACCTGGGAAGTACAGCCTTGACTTCATCAGTCTTCACACCTCATTGTAAGCTTTACACAGACACCAAAACCTCTCACAACTCGAGCCCTGAGCTGCAATCCGTGCTGTAAACCCCTAATCAACCAAAAAGAAGCCCAAAACAGATGCCTAAACCCTTAAACCCTCAAACCCCCTAAACCCTCAAACCCTAAACCCCCTAAAGCTCTAGACCCTAAAACCCTAAACCCCTAAACCCCCTGAAACCTAAAAACCCTAAAGCAAGACCGTCCAGCTGCTTCTCGATCAGCTTCAGGGAAGCCTGCAAGTCTCCCTGACCACCAGCGTAGACCTTCCAGCGCTTTATATTTGGAGGATCATGGGACCTAGGGTTCCTTAAAGGGTTCCTTAAAGGGTTCCTTAAGGGGCTCCTTTTAAAGGGTTCTATAAGGGATCTATGGGGATTTAGGGTTTAGGGGCTTACTTGGAGGATCATGGGACTTAGTAACCAGGGTTATAAATAAGGTAACTATACTTATAACTCCAATTATTAGGGTACTTATAACCTTACTTAGGTCTTCAGGCTTAGGAACTATAATGTAAGGGCCTTAATATTTAGAATAGGGTTTTGGGGTCCATTATACTATGACTATAACAAGGAGCCCAGAAGATGGTATAGGTAATTATCAAGACCCCTTTTTCTCGGGCTTCAGGGATTTTGGGGCTTTTAGGGGTGTAGGGGGGCTACAGGGCTTTAGGGGTCGAGGCTTTAGGCTTGAAGGCTTTGGTCGGGGCTTAGGGATCCCGCGATGATCTATCATGGGTTGCAGGATGAGAATAACAGTTTAGGGCTTAGGGGTTTGGGGAAACTCCGGTCTTGTTCATGATCGTAGGCTGGCCCTTTGGATCTGTGGGCGTTTAGTGAAGTTTAGTGCACGTGGTGGAACAACATGCGGAGACATGACTGGCCTTGCTACATGGCTGCTAAACTCGGACCATCGGCAAAAGCATTGCTCATGATGCCAGCTGCTGATGCCTGCAGCAGGAAACTGTGACCTCACTGTTTGATGAAATCTACACGGCAAACCCGAAAGACAAACCTCGTGTTCCATATCCGAACGTTCGATACTGCAGGGTCTATAGGGTTTAAGAGTTTGGCGTTCGATACTGCAGGGTCTATAGGGTTTAAGGGTTTGTGATTGAGGGGCTTGTGGCTTACAGGCCTTATAGCGTTTTTGTGACTTATATATGTTTTGTGGGGTTTCGGACCTTTGCGGGAGGAGGGTACGATTGAGGATTTAAAGTGCGCGGGATTTCGGAGGTTTGGTTTAAAGGTCGTCTGCGGTAAATACATGGAGAAGCAGAAGCAGCTGTTACAGAGAACCGGATACCTCGTCCCGCTGCATGGACACCAAACCATACCTCGGCCGCTGAACTAGCGTTTAGGATTTAGGGATTTAGGGGCTTAGGGTTTGGGGTTTAGGGGGTTTCAGGTTTTAGGGTTCAGAGGTTTAGGGCTTTAGGGGTACAGCGCTTTAGGGCTTTGGGGTTTGAGGCTTTAGCAGATTAGGCTTTTGGGATTAGGGGTTATCTTTCCTAGAACCTCTTGATCAAAGGAGCCCTCTTGAAAGGAACTCTGCTAGTAAACATCACATCAACCAGAATTCTAACATCATTTCTCCAACACATATGCGGAAATACTTGAATTTGACCACCGACTGCGAAGTCTGCAAACGGTGGCAAACCACTGTTCAGCCCAAACAGCACTGTTACGAAAGGCCAAACAGCACTGTTAGGAAAGGCATCTGGAAGCGCATGCCTGTACATATCTACAACGAAATGCGGCAGGAACCGAACCGAATCTACTGTCTTTGCGTACCGTGACCACAAACCAACAGCACGACATACACACACACACAAAAAATAAAAAAACAAAAACTGGGTTTAGGGTTTAGGATTTCAAACTCAACACATGAAAGCCTTGACCCTACAGCCAGAATCCAAAGGACATCCATCAAGCGTTTGGGTAGGAGACCTCACCCCGCCCTGGATCCTACATGTTACCTGACTAGTAGATTACCCAAACAAAGCTATACCCTTCAAGCAGTAGGCTGCATCGTTCAAGGGGCCTAAACTGTATCGTTTCCAATCTTGAGCCTGAACCGGATCCTTGATATCAGAACCCCTAAAAAGGAGCCCTAATGACTAATGTCAGGGTCCCTTTTGTGAAACCCGACTCTCCCTCTCTCTCTCTCTCTATCTCTCTCTCTCTCTCTCTCTCTCTCTCTCTCTCTCTCTCTCTCCCTCTATACATAAAAAGCACCATTTGGCACACTTACAGTTGCATCCCGAATTTTCGGGACCCGCAGTTTACCAAATCTCCTGCTGAAGCCAGGACGACCTCGTCCATCGCAGCCTGCCGGCAGCCCAGTCGAAGAGGTGTGGCTCTTTCCTGAGCTGACAGGGAGTTTTTTTTTTTAAAGTGTACTGGCTCTTTCTCCACTCCGCACGAAGAGCAGGTCCACAGCCCGCCAAAGGGCTTACACTGATTAAAGGGGGTGCCTCTCAGAACATCTTCAAGTTGAGAGCAAAGATCAACAGAGAGAGGAGCCACATCTCATTCATCACGGCTGCGACTACGATCACGGCTTCTATCACGACGAAGCGATGAGGATGAAGAAGCCGCACGACGACGGGCATTGCGTATCCACTCTTCCGACTGCAAGACCTGGGGACGAGGACCATCAACTTCAGACTCCGGTTCACCTACATGTACAGCAGGTACGTGGCCTCCAGCTTCACCATGAAATTCAGGTAGGGCAGCAGATGGACCAAGATCACGAACTGGACGACGATTGCCAGGTGGAAGCCCAGGAGAGTCACGAAGGTGCACATCGCGAGTTCGATTCTGGGAGAGAGAAGGATGAGCCCATGTGCCACCGAGAGATCCACTAGGAGCTGTCAACAGGGACAATGGAGTCATAGAAGTCACAACCATGTCCTCGCCGCCTGGTACTTGTGCAAGTAAAGGGTTTGTATTCGTCGGTACGAACCGAGGAGGGTCGCGAGGGAGATGATGACGACGTCTTTGGTGGAGAGCAGGGCGACCACGATGAACAGCACGAGCATGATCAGCAGCACCAAGTGAGCCAGCAGTGCGATTCTCTGGAGAAAGTCGTCCTCTTGGTTGTATCGATGTTGGCAGTGGAACAGAGGCCGGCCAGTTGCTGACACCCGTCTCCTCATCCTGTTGGACGACGAAGAGGTCACGGTCATCTTCGGCAGGCCATCCTCCAACTGGAACTTCCAGATCGGCGTCAGCATATAGTCTAGCTACATGGACACGCCAGGCCCGTCTCCGGTAACCAGCAATTGTATGAGGTTCAACTCCTGGTAGACGGCGAGAGAGCTCCTCTAGATCAACTGGCAAGTCTGGCGAGAGGAGGACAGACGGATCCAGAATCCAGGTGGAAACAGGTATCGTGGCTGGCCCTGATCCCGCTCGAGCTTCACGTTGCACCGCTTCAAAAAATGTTCCTCTCGAATGTTGCAACATTCATCATCACATTGCCCTCCGGTGATCGCAGCCAAGTCATGGTCTCTTCCATTGCCTCCAGAAGCAATCTTTCTTGATGTCGTAGTCGACGAATACGAGCCAGAAGCCGACGAAGGAGCTCAATGATGTCTCCTTGTCCACCATGCACGACATTCACGTTGACCACGTCTCGGACGACATCCGTTGGCCAAGTTATAGTAGGTGGGATGCTACTTGTGCTCGTCGTAGTCCACATCATCCCAGTAGTTGATTGGGCCCAAGCTGGGTGTAAACCGAGACCAGGCACTGAGGAAGTAGAGGGCAAAGAAGTCCCCTCAGCCAATTCTACTCCGGCATCGGTGTCCAAGTCAGTGGAGGTGCTCGTCGTGGAGGTGCTGGTCATGGAAGTCCACCAGGTACTGCACAGCGATGTAGTCGTAGTCGATGAAGTCAGTTCCCCTTCATTGCTGCCACTTGCCTCGACATCCTCCTCAGACGGCTCCGGCTCTCTCCAGAAGCCACGAAGTTCACCTGGGGCAGGAAAATTGACCGGTAGAGGAGGAGGAGGGCCAAAAGGTCCACCCGAAGGCGATCGTGGTGGTACTTCAACCAGTTCACCGGCTTCGTTGTACGCAAGTTCACTATCCATTGTTGGCACATACAAACTCGTCCCAGAGGGGCTTCGCGATCTTGTACGACGATCGCGACGACGGGTAGCTCTCCTCCGCGTTCCACTGGCCGAGCTGACAGCTGTCGTAGAGGAAGAGGGTTGGCTTGTCCTCCCAGTGTCCGTATGAATACTCTGGGATTCCACCGAATCAGCGGGCGCAGAAGGTGAAGGTTGAACATCGGCAGGTTGCAACCGGACATTGAGGTTTGCTTCCAACGTGTTGAGGAACAGGTCTGCATAGTTTCTCCCCCAATTGAATAATCTCCATTGGTCCATCTCAGCTCTGGGGATCCTTCTCACCGGTAAGTATCCTTGCGGGATGAATCTTCTGGAGATCACGGCATGAAGAGCATCTAAAGCTTCGATCCCATCCACAAGGCGTGAGTGCAAGCAACTGATCGACCATCTGCCTTCAGGTCCCTGGCCTTCTATTTGCATACGCTCCAAGGCGCGAAGTAAGCCTTCCAGTCTGGTGATCATTGCTTGTGGCACTCCTCGTTCCTGAAGACTTCTCCTTTCAGCATTCGTCATCTGCATCAACATGACGTCGTCTTCGTCTTCGCTGTCAGATCTGGCCGCCGGGACAAAGGGCGGCGATGATCCATTCGCTGAGATCGGGCGGACATCCGGGAAGAGGCCAAAGTTGGGGACCACGGGCCAAGTAGAGGACAAGGTCGTGGTAGAGGATGAGGTAGTGGTGGTCGTCATTGTGCAAGTCATCCCCATCGTTGAGTAACAGCAAGATGTGGACGTCCACGTTGTACCAGACCACGAGGACCACGTAGAAGACGACCATGCCGTAGAATTTGGATTATCATTCCACTCGTGCCACCCATTCCAGGAATGCCAAGTGGATTGCCATCCCATCCAAGACCAATTTGAGACAGACTCCCCTGTAGCGTCATCTTGCCCTTGTACTTGCTGATCTGGATCTGCAGGCACCACTTCCTCCATCAATGAGTTCTCAATCTCAACGGCAGGAGAAGGAACAAAACTGGAGTTGTCGGGAGGGTCCAGTGACGAAGGAGTTGCCTGTTGTTGAGTCTCCATGGACTCCTGATTGGCTCTTTGTTGGTCACGAGCTTGTTTAGCAAGCTTGTATTGCTCCAACCAAGCTGGTCGCCAGTTGCCATCAAAATAGGCTTTAAGGCGTCGTTGTTTCTTCAGCCACCTTTGCATGCCGGTGCCACCTTGATGACTTCGGAGTTCGGCTGAGGTTCGTGGTCTGGGCACCCATTCACCATGATGCCAAAACCCTACTTCATTGGGTTGGGCGTTGTCTGAGGAAGACGCCGCATCAGGATCCGGGTAGTCCACCTCATTTAGAGGAACAGCCGTGGGTACATCGCCACTCCATGAAGATGCGGTGCTTCCGTCATCTCCCGCCGTAGTAGACTTCTCTGCCAGTTCACCCAAACCACTGGCCCAGACTTCAAAGGCCTCGCCATAGAACGTCCGCGCTCTGACAACAGGGCCATCCACTGACTGAACAACATCCTCCACTTCGAACGGTGGCTCATCTTCTTGAATGGGACCCAAGCCTTGTTCAAGAGCCCGACGTTCGCGAAGACGAGAACGAACGCTCCCATTCGCGAGATGCCAGCGGTCTCTGCCAGGGCGTGTTTGATGAAATCTTTGGGTAACACCAGTTGTCGTAGCCGGGGTAGCCGTATCAACAGGCAAGGTAGTACCAAGAGACCAGTCCACTTCCAAAGTCCCGCTTGATGCAGAGTCCTGCGTTCCACTAGGCAAACTTGCCGAAGGGGTCGTGCTGATACGATTCGAACAGGGTGTCCCGGAGGTCATGTTCGCACGCGAAGAAGTGTCGCCCCAGGTAGTAGAGCATGGACGGATCCGGCTCATCCAAGGCGTCGAGGAAGAAGACGAAGCACACGAAGAAGGGTCGCCCCAGGCTGTGGGGCTCGAACTCGTCCAACTCGTCCATGGTGCCGAGGAAGAAGACGGAGAGGACAAAGTAGTGCCATGTTCCTGTGTGTCCCCGTCGTCACCATCGCCATGGCCAGCAGGTAGACATGGAAGGGGTGCACTTGCCGAGACAGAGTCATCTTCCATGGGTTTGTTGGAGACAAGCCATGTACCAGGGTCCCTACCCAAAGTTCTTCCTGAGGAGGAACGATCACCACGAAGTTTTCTGCCATCATGTAAGAGACGTAGCAGAGCACCCTCGTCATTTGATTGTGTGCTCACCCCATTGCCAGGCAGAAAGGGCGTGGGCACAGACTCTGGCAGTGGCGACTCAAGTAACACCATTTGTGGTTGTGCATCTCCATGTCCCAGATTGTCAAAGTCTTCCATTTGGACGGCCACGGAGATCTCCTCATCCCAGGCTGCTGCCATGAATTGCACGTATTGGTTGTAAGTCCAGGGCTGCGAGCAAAAGGGTGTCGATGTCACCTGCGAAGGAGTCAAGGACGAAGAGCTGGCTGCACCGGTTTCGGGGTGGGCTCCACAAGTCTCATTTTCCTCATCCCAAGCATTGCCGTCCCAGAAGAGGAGAAAGCAAGGGAGCGCTCGCCACAGCAAGCAAGGAGCCATCACACGGCGAGGTAGGCGAGGAGAGCGACAATGCCGAGGGTTGCGACAGCGTGTCACCTGGAGCCAAGAAACACCAGCGGAGTGCTTGCAATCCTCACATTCGCAGAGCACTGTCAGACATGATCACGCGCAACGTCACTCAGCGACAGAGAGGAGCCGAAGAATGACAGCCTTGATGTAACACTTCTCAATCCTGGAAAAGGTGCTTCTGACACGATCGCAAGGGCTGTGTAAGCGAACATGCCGCGCAAAGCACAGTCGGATATGACCTTGCACAAAATCTCAAAGACTAACGACAAAGAGCATCCCATCTTGACAATCTCGATGTAAAACTCCCAAGTGGTAGGACAGCTATTGTCAGAGTAAAAGCAAGGGCATCGTAAAAGAACATGTCAGTCGAACATAGACTTCACAGCTTCAAGAGCGACGTAAGTCCACACTCTCAGATCGAACTTCACAAGGTGGACATGCACCGATCTAGAATCGTAAGGCCAATTGTCGGCCGCTGCTCCACTTCACGTCCCACATATCAACGTATCTACTTCTGGCCGCACACCAAGCGATTCTATCTTGAGCTCCCACATACCAAAGACTTCCCTGTGTTTCAGAAATTTGGCGTTCGGGATTGGACGCATAAAACCTGCAAGGATGTCGCATACCACACTTTAGACTCTTTGCCTGCTCTTCTCGC